TACATGTGACTCCAGACCCACAGCAATGTGGTTGACTCATAACTGTCTTCTGGGCAATTAGGGATGGGCAATAAATGCTGGCCTAGCCAACAACACCCTCATCCCATGAATGAATAAAATGAACTTCTGACCAACTTCTTCTGAACACACTAATTCTGGAAATTCTAAGCTTGCCACAAGAGCCAAAAATCAAATTAAAATCCAAAAGAACTGCAGATGCTGTAAATCAGGAACAGAAACGGAAGTTGCTGGAAAAGGTGGGAATGGTCTGTGGCAAAGTCACTGGACCCGAAATGTTAACTCTGATTTTTTCCTTCACAGATGCTGCCAGACTTGCTGAGCTTTTCCAAAAATCAAGTTGCCCCTTGCCAGTGGTACACAATCATTTTGGCATCTGCTTTCAGGCTTCTAAAGCCACATGGCATTGTCGTGGCAAATTCCTGCCCATAATTGATATCACCAGCATTAATAGTTCACTAGAGTTTCCCTACTTGTCATTCATCTTGAGGGCTTTCTTTTTTTAACATCTACGAATCGGAGCTTTGGACATTCTGCTGGTCTCTTGATGTGGGCTACCTCTCCATGCAGTTTACCTTTAAAGATATAGCCATTCTCCATATTGTGCGGATGCAGTAAGAACATTACATTTACTTTGGGGGAAGGTGGGGAATCAACAGGGAGGTGATGGCCTAGTGGTATTATCACTGGACTATTAATCCAGAGACCCAGATAGTGTCCTGGGGACCTGAATTCAAATCCTGCCACAGCAATTGGTGGAATTTGGATTCAATAAAATATCTGGAATTAAGAATCTAATGATGACTGTGAGGAAAAACTCATCTGGTTCACTAATGTCCTTTAGGGAAGGAAAGTGCCATCCTTACCTGGTATGGCCTACATGTTACTCCAGACCCAGAGCAATGTGGTTGACTTTTAACTGCCCTCTGGGCAATTAGGGATGGGCAATAAATACTGCCTAACCAGTGGCACACTCATCCCGTAAATGAATAAAAAAAAACCAAGGTTAACTTCTCGAGGCAGTGGTTCAATCGATAAGGAAACGTCTGTCCTATGTCTTATGGACTTGGGGAAAGAACCTCGGTCTAACGTCACATCTGAAAGACAGCATCTTCAACAGCACTCCTCAGTATTGTAATAAAAATGGCAGCTTAGATTTGGTGTTCAAGTTCCTGGAGTAGGTTTCAAATCCATAAGCGGCTCAGAACCAAAGCTAACACTTCCCATCTTTTATATCTTTAAGAAATAAATATTTGCCTTGATTATAGCACATTTCACGACCACTGGGCACTCTAAAGCAAGTTCGTGACTAATAAATTAATTTTTAAAACATTGTTGCAATTGCTTTGCAGATAGCCATATAGATTGCTGCATCAAACAGCAAGATTCCACGAGATTGCGGAAACTGGAAATCTGGAGTCAAAACACAAATTGCTGAAAATACTCAGCAGGTCAGACAGTGTTTGCGGAGATTAAAATTGAGTTGACATTTTCAGATACATGCTCTTTCAATAAAGTGGGGTTGTCTCTCCAAAGCTACAGGCTTGTTGAAATAACAGATTAGTTATCTTTATTGATGAAATCAGTTGAGGAATAAAGCCAGTCAAGATGTATTCTTAGACGATGAACACCTGGAGCAAAAGTAATTAACCATCTTGATGAAAAGTTATCATCCTGAAATGTCACGTCTTTCTCAGTTGACATTTGATGCCTGAACTGATAAATCTCATTCAAACATCTTAACTTTTTTTTCAGCACCACTTAATCAAATCGACAACCAGGGGGTGATTTCCTTGGTCAACACTTATCCCTCAGCCAACCTCACAAAAACAGAAAATCTGGCCATCAGAGATAGTAGGAACTGCAGATGCTGGAGAATCCAAGACAACAAGGTGCAGGGCTGGATGAACACAGCAGGCCAAGCAGCATCGTAGGAGCAGAGAGGCTATCTGGCCATCCATCACTTGGCTGCTGGTAGGAACTTGCTGTGTTCCACATTTTCTGGCATGCAGATTTACTTTGCTTAATTTGACAATACAGTGAAGACAAGAATTATTTACTTGACAAGAAAAACCTTTTGATTGAATGGATTGGAAAAGGTGATTGAATAATGTTCTGATGCAAAGAATGAGCTGGGAGATGTGAACTGACACAACATAGTTAAGTGTCAACATGTGTTAGATGGATATGAATATTCACAAAGACCTGCACCATGTGAAAGGAAGGCAGAGATTAGGACCTCAGAGGCATTGCTCTTTTCTGACTGATTCAGTAAAGGAGGAAGCGTGTTGGCGATGCTGGCAATAAAAGGCGCTGAATAATTATAACGTTGAAATATCATGAATTGATCTAAAATTTGTGATTTTAATTTAGGGAAAAGAAAACTCTGGATGCAGTTGAAGAAAGAACTCATTTTAACAGGGGTGAGTTGAAATTGTAAGCCTGGAAATTTATTTTTGTGAGGAAAGCTATCATTTGAAGTTGGTTGCCATTGGAAATAGTTGTGAATTTTTTTTTAAATCTTTTAGCTAAACTCGGGGGTTGCCTTTTTTTTGTAAGAAATTATTTCGAGGAGGTCCATTTGCCTGGAGATTCCTGTCTTCAGTTTCGGTTTCTCCCTCTTTTGATCCGCTTCACGTGGTCCCCGGGACTCGCTTACATCCCAGCCGTGGGAACGTGTCGGAAGGTCGGGGAGAGATCTACCCAAGGCCGAGGCTCTAATGTGTGCAGCAGGCCTCGGCTGTGAAAATTGTTTGTGTGCGCGCGCGTTGGAGGGAGAAAAGCCGAATTGAAACCAGTCCCAAAGTTCTCGTTCATATAAAATAGTTGGGAGTGATGTTTTATTAGTATCCGTGACAAAAAGTTGTTCCCTTCATTTCAACTGATCCCAAATAATGTTCTTTCAGAGTCTCAATTGTTTTTGTCCTTATTTAAGATGGTGACTTGCCTTTTTGCCTTCACTTTTAAATTCTATCTGGTTTATATGGGTTTGTGATCGAGGCCTTGGCAGCGACAATCGCAACCTACTAAAGAATAAAAGGAAACTTATTGTGTGTCACTACATGGTGGTTCTTGGTCTACACCTAATCTGAGCTGAACAAGTGCTGGTGGCCAGAGAATATGTGAAACCAAAATACTGCGGATGCTGGAAATGCAAGAAAAACTCAAGAGTCCTGTCCATCTCGACGTGTTGACTCTCTCCACAGATACTGCCAGCTCCTGAGTTTCTCCAACATTTTCCCTACTTGTTCCACAAGATATATTCCTGCGAACAATGATTTTTTTTTTATTTTGGACTAATTTTACAGGTCTCCTTTATTTTCATGGGGTTGGAGATGCAAGCCCACTTAATTCAGTGACCTCAAGAACAAATTGTCTTGATATAGTGTGAGGGGAGACAGTGGCATCGTGATACTGCTACTGGAGTAACCCAGAAGTCCAGATTCATGCTCTGCTGACACAGATCTAAATCTCATCCTCCTACCATGTCAGCTGATGAAACTTGAATTCTGTTATGAGAGGAATTGACATAAACGTGAAGAGGTTATGCTTCAGTTCTATGGGTCATAGGTGAGAACACATCTTAAGAACCAAAGAGGTCTACAGGAGAGAAAAAGATCCTTTGGTTCACTAGGTCTACACTGGTGAAGAACACGTACTTAACTATTTTAATCTCATTTTCCTGCATTTGGTCCACAGCCTTGTACACTTTGAACTAGTATTTAGACATGCTGTTGCAATGCCAATGTTAGGAGAGTTTCTGCTTCTACCAACCTTACAGACAGTGAGTTCTTGATTCCCATCACCAATTTAAGAGTAAAGAAAAAAATTCATATCCCCTCTAAATCTCCTCCCACTTAACTTACATCTATGGACCCTGGTCATTGATGCCTCCACCAAGGGGAAAAATGCCTTTCTATCTACCTTATCTATCCCCTCCTACTTTTATATATCTCAAACATGATACTCCCTTAGTCTTCTGTGCTCCAAGGAAAACAACCCAGTACCTCCAATCTCCGATCTTTCTGACACACCACTTGTCACAGACCTTCAGTCCAAATAAGAACCCTCTAGTATCACCATCCTGTGTCCTACTGTCAAGCCAATTTTGTATCCTATTGGGTAGCTCTCCCTGGATCCCATGTGATGTAACCTTACTAATCAGATGACTGTGCAGAATCTTATCGAAAGCCTTGCTACTGTCCTGGCTTTATCCGTCTTCTTAGTCACCTCTTCAAAAAACTCAAATCAAGTTTGCGAGACACGATTTCCCATGCACAAAGCCATGTTGGTCATTGCCTTTCCAAATGCATGTAAATCCTGTCTTTCAGAGTCCCCTCCAACAGCTTATCCACTACTGACATCAGACTCACTGGTCTATAGTTCCCTGGGTTTTCTTTATTGCCTTTCTTAAATAAAGGCATAACATTAACCACAATCTCTTCCTAGCTTCCCACAGTGTTCTGAGATTCATCTGATCAAATCCTGGGCATTTATCTGCAATTATACATTTTAAAACCTCCAGCCTGACCTCTTCTCTAATATGGACTCTTTTCAAGACATCACGATTCATTTCCCCAAGTTTTCTAACTTCCATGTCTTTCACCACAGTAAATACTGTGATATATTTGTTTGATTTTTTTAAATTACTTTTTCCTGTAGTTTTACACATAGACAACCTCGTTGATCTTTAAGGGGCTCTATTTTCTCCCTAGTTACTCTCTTGCTCTTAATGTACTTCCAGAATCTCTTAGGATTCTCCCTAACCTAATTTGCCAAAGATATCTCATGTCCCTTTTTGACTTCTTGATTTCCAAATTAAGTGTACTCCTGCTGCCCTTATACACCTCTAGGGATTCACTTGATTCCCAGCTGTCTGTACCTGATATATTCTTGACCAAAGCTTCAATATCCCTTGTCGTCCAGAATTCCTTACACCTACCAGCTTTGCCCTTGGATCCCATGGTTCCTACCTTCGATATCAGTCCCCCATGTGGTACATTATCAAATGCTTTGCTGAAGTCTAAGTAGACCATGTCAAATGCATTGGCCTCATCAACAGGTCCAGTCACCTCTTCGAAGAATTCAATCAAATTGGTCAGGCATGACTTCCCCTTGACAAAACCTGCTCTTTATTTAGTCAGAAGTCATGCAACACCAGGTTATAGTCCAGTGGATTTATTTGAAATCACAAGGCTTTGGAGCACAGCCCCTTCGTCAGGTGCAGTGAGAGAGAAGAGCACACTGACACAGGGTTTATACGCAGAGAGATCAAGGGCTGAGAGAACAAAAGATCATACAGTTGGTGTGAGTGGAGTGTCAGATAATAATTCGCTGCAGGTGATCAAGTGTGTTAGATGGTGAGTAAAGTTCAACAGCTGAATAACCAGCGCAGGGATGACCTATAATCCGATTAAATGAGACAGAGAGCTAATTACAAAAAATCCAAATAAGGTGGTGCTGGAGACAAACTAAATGACTCAAATAACATGATAGGTATAAGAATCACATGCTGAGAGTCTAACCAAAGTAATAAGTAATTCAAAACTATACAAAGGTAGAGAGATCATAACAATTTTTCAAGGTGATGGTGTCAAAACAGGACAGTAAGTAAGATTTTACAGACACAGAGCAGTGTGGTGGGGTCACATGTAGCGCGATATGAACCCAAGATCAAGGTTTAGGCTCTTCTCATGGGTTCAGAACTTGCCTATTAGTCACTGCTTGGCGACGCTGCATTGTTGTGTGTCTCAAAGTCCACCTTAGAGGGCGCTTACATGAAGATCGGAGGCTAAATGCCCTTGACCGCTGAAGTGTTCCCCCACTGGGAGGAAACATTCCTGTCTGGTGATTGTTGTCCATTCATCTGTTGTTAGAGCATCTGCATGGTCTCACCAACATACTATGCCTTGCCTGCAGTGTAGGAGAGAGACAGCATTGGCTGAGTCACATGAGTATCTGCTGTGTACATGGTGGGTGGTGTTCCCACGTGTGATGGTAGTACCCATGTCGAAGATCTGGCATTTCTTGCAGAGGTTGCCGTGACCGGGTTGTGTGGTGTTGTGGTCGATGTTGTCCTCAAGGCTGGGTAGTTTGCTGCGAACAATGGTCCGTTTTAGGTTTGGCAGTTGTTTGAAGATGAGAAGTTGAGGTGTAGGGAATATCTTGGCGAGGTGCTCATCGTCATTGATGATGTGTTGAAGGCTGTGAAGAACATGGCATAGTCTCTCTGTTCCGGGGAAGTACTGGATGATGAAAGGCTCTATTGGTCGTATCCTGTCATCCCTGGAGAGGTTTGTTGTGGTTTTTCACTGTGGCATGTCGGAACTGGCTATCAATGAGTTGAGCATAATATCCTGCTCTTATGAAGCCGTCCTTCAAAACCTTTTAGGTGTCTAAAATGTAGTCCATGGGAAGTCTGATGGTGGGATGAAATTTGTTGATATTGCTATGTAGTTATTTCAGTGATTCCTTGTCATGAGTCTAATGGAATAAAATGTTGTCAGTGTATCTGGTGTATAGCGTTGGTTGGAGATCTATGCAGCAAAGAAGTCTTGCTCAAACTTGTGCATGAAAATGTTGATATATTGGGGTGCAAATTTGGTCCCCATGACTGTTCCGTATGTCTGGGTGAAGAATTGGTTGTCGAAGGTGAAGACGTTGTCGTTGAGGATGAAGCGGATGTGTTTTAGGATGGCGTCAGGAAACTGGCAATTATTGGTGCTGAGGCTGTTGCAGAAATGCCGTCATAGTGGGGGATACTGGTGCCAGGAGTGGAGAAACTACGCCATGTTCTTTGCAGTTGTCAACATGTGATCGATAACGATGAGCATCTCACCAAAGTCTTCCCTACGCCTCCATTTCTCACCTTCAAACGACCGCCAAACCTTAAACAGACTATTGTTCGCAGCAAACTACCCAGCCTTCAGGACAACATTGACCACAACACCACACAACCCTGTCATGGCAGCCTCTGCAAGAAATGCCAGATCTTTGACATAGATACTACCATCACATGTGGGAACACCACCCACTACGTACACTTCTGAAGAAGGGTCTAGGCCCGAAACGGCAGCCTTCCTGCTCCTCTGATACTGCTTGGCCTGCTGTGTTCATCCAGCTCTACACCTTGTTATCCCGTGATCTCTATCTTAATTAGTTTGTACAGTTTTGAATTACTTATTACTTTGAATAGACCCTCAGCATGTGACTCATACCTGTCATGTTATTCCAGTCATTTAGTTTGTCTCCAGCACCACCTTTATTTTGAATTTTTTGTAATTATCTCTCTTGTCTCACTTAATTGGATTATAGGTCATCCCTTCGCTTGTTATTCAACTTTTGACACTTTACTCACCATCTAACACACTTCGTCACCTGCAGAGACTTGTTATCTGAGACTCCACTCACACCAGTTGTATGATCTTTTATTCTGTCAGCCCTTGATCTCTCTGCCTATAAAATCTGTGTCCACGTGCTCTTCTCTCTCACTGCACCTGACGAAGGAGCTGTGCTACAAAAGCTTGTGATTTCAAATAAACCTGTTGGACTATAACCTGGTGTCATATGACTTCTGACTTTGTCCACCACAGTCCAACATCAGCACCTCCTCATCATGTCCTTATTTAAAGAGGGATACAAAAGTGTTGGAGACAATTCGGAGGAGGGTTACTAGATTGATACTTGGAATGAATGGGTTGCCTTATGATGAAAGATTGATTGATTGGCAGGACTTGTCTTCACTGGAGTTCAGAAGAGTGAGTTTGATTGAAGTTTACAAGATCCTGAATAGTTTTGACAAGGCAGGTGTGGAAGTAGATAACAAGGTGTCGAGCTGGATGAACACAGCAGGCCAAGCAGCATCAGAGGAACAGGAACGCTGACGTTTCGGGTCTGGACCTTTCTTCAGAAATGATTTCTGAGACGTCAGCTTTCCTGCTCCTCTGATGCTGCCTGGCCTGCTGCATTCATCCAACTCTACACCTTGTTATCTCAGGCTCCAGCATCGGCAGTTCCTACTATCTCTGGGTGTGGAAGTGATGTTTTTCCCCGACTATGGCTGAGCCCAACACTAGAGGGAACTGTTTTAAAATTAGGGGTTGTTCCCCTTGGACAGAGATGAGGAGAATCTTTTTTTCTGAGGATTGTGTGAATTTGGAACTAGGTGGGGTCTCATGATCAGGAGGCGAGATGTTTTCTGTCTTTTTTTGGTTCATCATCCAAAAATATTTTGGGGAATTCTGTCAGTAGAATAAGATCTGTCGCGGTTTATCATAATGGGGTAGGCTTGAAGTTCTGGGTTGCATCTTGCTGATCAGCTCTAGCATGTCTCCCGTGTTATGTTCACATGCTGCAGTGACAGTGAAGCATCATCTCCAGGCTGTGAGCCTAGACAAAATGCATAGAAACATTAGGGTGCCCCATTCATCTTCCCGGGTTGAATTTAAAGGTATGCAGAGCATTATGTTTGGCACTGGTTTGGTTGCAGGAATTGCTGGAAAGGTGACATTTAGGTACTGTCCACCTTTAGGCTTGACTCTGGATTATTTTGTCCCCATTTACTCCTTTAGCCTTTCTCTCTGTCTCTCCCTCCCTGTCTGTCTCTCCCTCTCCCTCTCTCTCTCTCTCCCCCCACCTCCCCCCACCTCGGTAACCATAAAGTGGAGGAGCTATTTGTCTGTAGCTGTGTGTTTGCTGCAGGATTATCAGCATATGTCCATGTGAAGGTGAGCCTACAGAGTGCATGTCTGGGGGCCAAACCTCCCCAGTTCCTGAGAAACTTTAGCCTGTAGCTGTAAGAGGCCTGGTTTCCATGTATTACCACAAGGAGGTGCAAGTGAGGACATGCCAACAGGGAGACCATGGAGAGGCTACATACTCAGTTTGTAAATGTCACCTTGCTGCTAGTGGTGTGCACGGAAAACGAGAAGCAAACTCATGTACAAAAGCAGATGGCAGTTCTGAGGAAGGGTCACTGGATCTGAAACATTAATTTCTCTCCACAGATGCTGCCAGACCTCCTGAGCTTTATCAGCAATTTCTGTTTTTGTTTCTGATTTCTTGCATCTGCAGTTCTTTCAGATTTTATTTACTCTGTTTCAGGAGTTCTGTATGAAGTGAAATTACAGAACAGTCTCCATCTAGTGATTCTTGTTGTGTATAGACCAGTTTCATTTTCCTGACTTCCTGATGACTTACAGTTTGGAGTAAGGTAAACAAATTTGCCCTGCCCTCTCTGTTCAACTTGGAACTCTTGCCTCTCTGTCATAGTCCAGAAACAGAAAGTGCTTACGCAGCACTACATAAACAATGTAGAACCATTTGACGCAACTGCTCCACACAGACCTCTCCATAACTTACCTTTTGAATAAAGAGATCGCTCCTGACTTCCTTACTGGATTAATTAACAACGAGGTTTTATTTTAAATGCCCAGTTCTGAAGAAGGCTCACTTGACCCGAAGCATTAGCTCTGCTTTCTCTCAACAAATGCTGTCGGACCTGCTGAGTTTCTCCCAGCAATTTCTGTTTGTGTTTCAAACATCCAGCATCTGCAGTTCTTTGTTTTATTAATATGTCCCCATTGCTTTGGATTCACCCATGTGCAGAGACGTCATCTCTATATTTATCCTGTGGAGTCTCATCATAATTTTAAAGGCCTCCATTAGGTACCCCCTATTTTTCTTGAGGAAGAGAGGCAACTTGTTTTAACAATATTTTGTAAGCCTCCCATTTGTTCACCTGACTTCCTCACTATGTTAGGTAGCCTATCCCCCCCCCCGTCCCCAATTACATCACATTTTGATTTGATTTGTTATTAAGTACTTGGGTACAGTGAAAAATTTTGTTTTGCGCGCAGTACAGTCAGATCATACTATACAGAGTGCATTAGGGTAATAGAACAGAGTGAGGAATACAGCCTTGGGAAGAACAGTTGCCATACTAAGCTGTGATGCATCCAAATAAAATGCTTTCTATAGTGTATCTATAGAGATTGTTAAGAGTCTTTACGGACATGGGTGCAAGGAAGATGTGCTTGAATGTTCCAGCATCTTCAGTAATGTAGAGAGGTGAGGGAAGCTGGGTTTTTTTTTATCTTTATAACAGAGGGAATTTGATCAATGTCTTCAGAATTTTGAGAAGTTTTAGTTGAGGACAGAAGATGAAACCATTTCCAATGATAGATGGGTCTGTAAGCGGATTTATGGTTATTGGCAAATGGGGTCTTCTTCAATAGCAAGTTGTTGTGATCTGGGATGCACTGCCTGGAAACATGAAGGAAAGGAGATTTTGAGAAGTAAATTGCAGGATAAAAGAACAGGAGAATGGGGCTAATTAGATAGTTCTCGCAAAGAACTGACATACAATGGGTCAAGTGGCCTGATCCCATAATTTGTGATTCCAATTCAGTAACTCTCCCTATAAGAAATGTCAGATGCGTTGTGCTATCCCTGTTAACAAGCTAAATAGTTTCTGTTCAGTAATTTTCCTGATGCTTTCTGTACCTTTAAAAGGGTCATGTCACCTTCATGATTGGAGGAGATGTTTGAGGCAAACAGACAAGAAAAAACTGTTTCAGACATTTCTGCTAATACAATCATACTTGGTATTCTCCATCATAAATTTATATGTGAACCTGCTAGATGATCCTCATGACCAGACAGCATGAGCAGAAATGTGAAAAAAAACAGTATTGTCATGAATAGCAACTTGATCAGTACATTGATGGATCAGTATATAAGGTCGTGACTAGGGTATTGTGGCACAGGAGTAATGTCCCTACCTCGGGCACAGGAGGCCCAGGGTCCAGTCCCACCACTGAACAGGTTGACTGGAAACAGCTATGATGTTGGGGGTTTGAATCCCACTGTAGATTAAAGACAATCTGCCTGAAGACATGGCCTATGTTCATTTCACCTTGCCTTACTATCTTGCGCTTTTCTCTTCAGTTGCTTGTGAGAGACTCCTGTTTTCATCTTCAACGAACAATGTGACTAGGGAGAAGAATATGAAATGCTTTCCTATTGCCTTCTTCATATATTTAACTGAGCCAGGAGTTTCCCCTTCCCAAAGAGGCCCCAGCTGTAAGCATCCAATGTCCCCGGAGATTCTATCTCTTCTGTCATCCCCACCAGCAATTTGCTTGTTCCATCTGCTGCTTCAGAGACCCAGGCGCAATAATCTAGGCCGATACTGCCAATGCAGTACTGAGAGAGTACTGCACAATCAGAGGTAGAGTCTTTTAGATGGGACTTTAAACTGAGGTGCATCTGCCTTCCTCGGTGGGTGTAAAAGATCCCATAGCACTGTTTTGGAGAAAAGCAACCCTCATATTAAAGGGTTCAACCCTCTTATTTAAAGGGTTTCGGCTCAAATTGTAAGCTACCGCTCCGACAGATGAAATATTGCTTGCCAGAGTGCTGGCCGCTGTTTTTGTTGGTGATGGCGAACTGTGAGCCATCTGCCTGTACTCTTGTCGTACAGAGGAGTAGCATTTCCTCCTGTCAGCAGGATCATCATGGCGCAAAAGTGCGGAATTCTCTCCTGTATGGTGCTGTTGGAGGATCTTCACCACGTAGACTGAAGTGATTCACCAGCGCTGTGTGGAGGGCAGTTAGGGAAGGGCAGTAAATGCCAGCCTTCTCAATGACACCAACATTCCTGCGAATGGATTAATAAATAAAAACCACCTACTCATAGAACCTGCTGTGCACAGAATTGCTCAGTCACGTTCCCATACATCAGTAATCACTGCCATCATAGCTAGTTGATGTGAGGCACTTCGTGATGTCTTAACCTGTGTGACTGGGTTCAAAATATAAATGTGGGTCTTTTATTTATGTCATGATCCTTCTGTAACAGTGGTTCTTTCTCTCTCCAGGCGGTGACTGATACTACTATCTGCAGCTGTTAATATGTCAAGTACCTCTCCCGGAAGGCAGAAACGCAAGGAGGAAATTCAGAAAGGCCTGCATTTTATTCAGTAAGTCAGCCAAACACCACCTCTTGCCTATAAGAGTAAAGCGCTCCATTGAAGTTATCTTAGCATTGTCTTTATCATCCAACAATGTTCAACTGGTTAGTACCTAGCAAAGGGTTCCAGATTCAATTCTTGCAATGAGTTAATTCATTTCATTTGAGGAAGTCTGTGATTGCAGAACTGCTAGGTGCTGTGGAAGGAAAAGGAGTCAGTCAATGTGATCACGATCTAGTGAATCCCTCCTGGAGAGTAAATGCATTGAGATCAGGTGAAAATGTGACTTTATCCCCTTGTGATCCCTCTGCTGCATATTCTGTTGACAGTCAGTGTCTCAGTCATTAGTGAGAACAGAAGGGAGAATTTGTCAAACATCTGAATTGCTCCCACCTTGCCCACTGTGAAAAATTTGACCCTAGCTGAAATATGGATTGCTCGGGAGGCCAGCTGCCCTCATCCATGTGGCTTTTCTTCTGGAGTGATTTGAGATGATGGGTGATGGCAGATTATTTACATAGTAACTGGAATGGGGGAGTGTCCACTTGAGCCTGAGTCTGATTGTCTCCTCTGGAACATTGACACATATGTCACTTCCGTCATTTCTTACTAGATTGATTGATTTTTTTTTAAAAAGAATATTGTTATCATCTGTTTGTCTACCTCCAAGGTGTCAAGTCAAATTGCACCTCCTTTGGGCAATGATTAGCTAACTTGCCAGAAGCTAAGGACGAACCCAGTGATCCTTGTGTCTGCATGTAGCAGTATCACACCACAGTGTAGAGAACCCCTGAACAGCCTGTAATATCCAATCGGACAACCGTATCTTTGGATCCAACCACAACATTTTTTCCCTTTGCTTATTTTTATAGGGACATAAATTCAGGTGTTTTCATTGTCTTCCCTGCATTATTCTTTTCTTGGCCCCCTGAAATAATTGCACAGAGGCTGGTATCCCGTCACTAAGTCACCCTTTTATTTTATTTACATGTGCACCGGCCCTGTCCAGTCCGCTCAAAGCCAATCCCTGGACTGAGGAGACCTTCTGAATCTGCTGTTTATATCTGTCAGCAAGGGCTCCCTGATTTTGGTCTAGGTTAATAACCCCAGTGAGGGAACTCATAGTCAATGAGAACCACCTGGCCCTCTACACCCACTACACCACCACCAACCCCTCTGCCTTTAACACTGCTGCTAGGATGAAGAAGACAGCTGACCAATACTCGAAGGCCAGTAGCTACTGACTTTACTAACTGTAGAATCACATAGCTCTAAGGGAGAATTTTGACCCTTGGTGCCTCTTTAACCCTTGCTGAAATATGGACTGCAGGGGAAGCCAGCAATCCTCCTCCAGGTAGCTTTTCTTCTGAAATGATAGAGATGGTGGGTGATGCAGATTATTTGTATAGCAACTGGGATGGGCTCCTCATTGCATTTCTAAATCTTTTCTTTTTAAGAATACACTTTGAAAATCATACGAAATAGGAGCAGGACTGGACCATTCAGTCTCTCAAATCTGCTCCACCATTTGATGAAATCCTAGCTGATTTCATTATGGCCTGAACTGCACTTTTCTGCCTATCTCCTTTTACCCTTCACTCCCTTGTTGATCAAAAAGCTGACCAAATCAGAGTATATCCAGAGACAGTAGGAACTGCAGATGCTGGAGAATCCACTTCTCTTTTGTAAATTGCTATTCAGTCTGTTTCCACCATCTTTTCAGCAGTGCATTTCACATCATCACAACCTGTATAGTATTAATTTCACCTCAACACCTACCCTGCCACCCCCAAATGAAATTTCTCTGCTTCTCAACCCTCTGCCAGTAGAAACAGTTTCCTACTTTTGACATAATATTATCAGGGGTTTTGATAATTAGTCATTATCTGTTAGGGGCTTTCTCTGTTAGAAAGAGAGAGAGAGAAATGATAATGTAGTTCTGCTTCAAGCATGGTGCAAGATGAGGAGGCAACTTTCCATGAACTACAATAATGGCCCCAGAAATTTCCCTCGAATATTTTTTACTTTAAGAACAACAGTCTGTTTTTCTAGTCTGTCCATATTGCTGAATTCTATTATTCCTGGTACTATTTTGATAAATCTTCTTTGCTTCTTCTCCAGGACCATGTCAACCTTTGTAAGGAAGTAGGCATGACAGGAAATCTAACCTACAAATATTTCCATTTTAATTATATTTCCAAGAAGCTTATTGAAGGTTATGATCAAATCTGCTAGCAGTGATTTATAGAAGTTATTGTAATATTCTTGCTTTTAGACTTCAGCCCTATAGAAGCTAGTATGCCTCTACAAAGCTGGCAGGTTACTTGTACTATATAAGCTTTCCTTATTATAGGCAAGGTCCTGGGAGAACAACCATCATGTCTTCCTTTTGATATCTGGGTCAGAATCTTCTGTTTTGTGAGTTTTTGGTGAGCTCTGAGGCAGCAAAGGCCTTGGTGGTTCCGTACTCAAAACTCTCCACCTTCCTGACTCTACTGCAATTAGGTTCTGCGTGAAAAGGTGAATGGTTGGTTTTTTTTTTTCCCTCCCCACCCTGCCCCAGATTTGAGGCCCTTAAGTGGTTAATTAAGGGTCAGTTAAGGCATGGGGGTTCCTTGATCGAAGCCATCAATGCCTGATCAAGGGACTGGACTCGCTTGGTGGCTGGGTGGGTGGGTAGGGATGCTGCCTATTGGGAGCAATGTCTCAGCCCTTTGCCCCGATTCCCATCTTGCTTTCCTTGAAACAGGGAATCGAAGAAATCCAGCCCCCTCCACCAACACAGCTTTGTCCTCAGTCCACTGTGATCCTGGGACTAGGGAGTTGCTGTTCATTCAGCCACCACAGCCGACACCACCTCCACCCCCCCAACCCCACCCCCAGCACTGCTGAGTGTGAAAGTTGCCGGTTTCCGATTGACCTTCCTTGGAAGATGGGTCTCTCATCAGCTGGCTTCTGGGGCCACCACCGCCTCAATGAGATTGCACCATGTGATTCAGCAACTTAACCGTGAGGATGTGCTGCAATGTGGTGTACGCCTGGCTGTTTGAAAGTGCACACCGACCGAACAAACTCACCATGTTTTCATTGCTGAAGCAGTACATCTTCAAACGGTGTAGATTTACAGTCTCAGTTCTGTGCATCTGCATTGTTACTGAGCCATCCAACTGCCTGGTGATACTTTAGAGTGGAAACGCAGATGGGAAGAGCATGCATCTGAAATTGATTGTATTTGTTGAATGTAAAAGCATTTTTTGAATATCAAATTGGCAGCTTGTGCCTGAATGTAACCAGTGTGTGAAGTTGGAAATTTGCTAAGTGAGGGAATTTTAAGGCTTAATTGCTTTCTAAAATGCATTTAATGTTTCACTTTAATTTATCAAAATATTTTTACAAAAAGAGCTGTAAAAATAAGCCCAGGGGCTACAAAGACCGAGGTTAAAAGTGCATCTTATGCATTTTAGCTTCCACTTTTCTGGGAAACTGTCTGAGGCTCCTCCAATTCTGGCCTCCTCTCTGGTGCCTCGGTCCTAAGCACTGGAATTCTCTCTATTAATCTCTCTATCTGTCTACTTCTCTTTGTTTCTTTTAAGATGTGCTTTTAAAAGCTACCTTTTCAACCCCCAATTTTTGTACATCTACCATAATGTCTCCTGATGTGATGTAGGCACCTTGGCCATTTTACAGTGTGATTTCTAAATGCAAACGTTCTTCTCTTAGACGCTGTTGATAAGAAATCTCACTAATAGTTTTTCATATTTTCTGCTTCCCACCAGGTCTCCCTTGCCTTATCCAGGAAGTCAAGATGAATATGAGGTACAAGTAATTGCTGCTTTCTTGTTTTTTTTTTTAACTTTAATTTATTATTTCTTTCACCTCCAAGTCGGGGGAAACCACAGCACTTTTCCCACTGGGAAAAGCAGATAAACTACCTTTCTCAGCTGCTGTTTCCTAAATGAATGGGATGGTGTTACTGACAGCTTGCCAGCTGCGGGGATGACATGCTGGCTCAGCAGTTAGCACTGCTCCCTCACAGTGCCAGGGGCCCAGGTTTGATTCTAGCCTTGGGCGACTGTCTGTTTGGAATTTGCACATTCTGCGTGGATTTCTTCTGGTGCTCGGTTTCCTCCCACAGTCCAAAGATGTGCGGGTTAGGTGGATTGGCCATGCTAAATTGCCTCCTAGTGTCCAGAGACGTGGAGGTTAGGTGGATTAGCCATTAGTGATGCAGGATTACAGGGGATAGGGTAAGGGATTGGGTCTGGATGCGATGCTGTTTGAAGGGCCAGTGTAGACCCGATGGGCCAAATGGCCTGCTTCCACTCCATAGGGAATCTGTGATAAGGATGTAAGAAATTAATAAATATTAATAATTTTATATTCTGAGTCAGGGGTTGATGATAACGAGGTGCAACAGTACTGAACTAACCAAATGTGAAAATTTTGAATGAGATTATTGCGAGATTGTAGAACTATAGGAGAGTGGTGTGTACTTTCACTCCAACAATCTATGGAAGGGTTACCTTCTAATCTACAATTTTCTTTTTGTCCATGTGTCAAGACTTTTCTGCACCAGCTGGTTAAAAACCTGCTGGAGGAAGGGAACGGGCTGTACAGAGAAAGTGATTATAAACTAGCCCTGGCCCAGTATGTAGAAGCCTTGAACGTAGCGCAGTACGCAGAATCAGATGAGGTGGTAATCTCGCAGCGTCTGCTTGAGAAGCTGTACGTTAATCGAGCTGCCTGCTACTTTAGTATGGTGAGTACTTACAAAATTTTTAAAAATGTATTGGTAACTTCAGGGTAAAAATATGCACTTGTGGCTGATATGATGATCTAGCCAGTACTTAACTCTCGACCAGTATCAATAAAGGCACGTTATCTGGTTGCCGTTTTTGGAATCATACTGTGCACAAAAACGTTTCCCCACATTACAGCAGTGACTAATGACATTTTGCAAGTGCTTCACTGTCTGTGAAATACTCCAAAAATTGCGAACAGTCTGTCTTGGCTGTGTATATTAATTTGCACAGTGATGGATTTGTTAGAAATTTGTTCCATTTTCCATTTTGCTGAGTGATGTATTGATATCAATGGTGAATGAAATATGCTGAAGAGGTTCAATTTTGTAATGCACCATTGTTCAGTAGCCTCTGTTTATACTCCAAGTGGAACCCTGCACGTGGACCAGGGATCCACAGCTGTTGCAGATTCATAACCTCTTATTCTGGCTTGGGCCTGTGTGAATGATGGAGACTGGTAAGGGCATGGGCAGTTTTAATGAACCAACATTAGTTACAGCCACCTGCTGATCATTATGGGCAGGTCTCAATGGTTAAGTATGACCTAGGCTAGTGTCTGTAGAATCCCAAACCCAGAAAATCTCAGCATCTTCAGAAACTAGGGAAGAATTGAAATGAAAAAGTGATCTGTATCCTTCTAGGGCAGACAGTAGTGGAGAAATAAGAATTTGTATAGTGTTGGTGCTGACGTTTTGCTCTTATTGCAGGGTATGTACGAGAAAGCTTTGGAAGACTGTGAGAGCACACTAAAGCTCAATGAAACTAACTATCGGGCACTTTATCGGAAAACACAAGCTCTCAATGCGTTAGGAAGGCATAAAGAAGCTTACGAATGCATTGCCAAGTGCTCCTTTGCTGTTCCACAGGTGAGTAGATCCTTAGTGCAATATTGATGCTTCTGCCTGACATGAAATGTTTAAATCGATTTGGGGGAGGCAGCAGTCCTTTCCATTTCCAAAAATCATAATGTCTTCGAACCCATCTGTCAGGTTAAAACTTGCACAGGAGTTAAAGCAGGTTTTAGATCCCTCTGGCTAACTGCCAAGGTGAGTAAATTGGAACCATCGAAGTCTACGACTGTACCTCAGATTTGGGGACGTTTTTGGAGTGGTCCAGATGCCAGGTACTTGTCCATCAGAAATTTCAACTTCCAGAACAATTTCCACGGAATCAGCTGTAGCGGGACTTTTTTTTTGTGCAGCTCTCATTTATATTTTGACAACAACAGTCTTCCATTTGATTTTCAAGCTTCGATTCCTGAGTCCAAATCATTTATTCAGATCTTGAACAGCAGTGCTTCTAGCAACTAATCCCAATAGAAAATTATTTCCAACCTCCCACTACTATAAGTGAATGCCTTTAATTCCAACTGCCCTCTGTTTTGTAGTCAGTTCACTACTCATTTTGCTCCTCATCCCCTGATTCTGATCTGAATGATGAGCTAATTATTTGGGTACATTTTTTGATTGTCTGCAGAAAATCTTTATCGTTCATTATCCTTGTCAACTTTCTCTGTTCATTCTTCAGAGAATTCAGTAAGCTTGGTCAGGCATAACCTCCTCTTCCTTAGTTATTATAGTTTTACACTACTGATGTTTTCCAATACTTCTACAGTGAACATTCTGATGTGTCTCTTCCCGTTGAAATTAAGCTTACTCATCTGTAGTTCCCTGCGTGTGTTGTGTATCACTTTATGGATATGGGAAAGAATGTAGCAGGGAATTATGATGTATCTTTTGAGAGTAAAGGGGCTAGAAAAGATGTGGTATCCTCTAGCACCCTGCGTGGATAACCTGCTCCAATGCCACCGACATCGAGGTTTGGAAACCAGCAGCTGAGAGTGTCTGATAGTGTGTTTTCATTGTTCAATGTGGGAACCTGTGGCTTCATCTTAACATTGACCTGGAATTTCAGAGTGTGCAGACTTGCTCAAATGAAATGGATCTCTGTGGCATTATAATCTTGATGAAGTTGTCTCATTGCAAATCCCACATTCCCGTGTAGTTGAGTAATAAAAAAACAAAGTTTTAAAGCAATGTGGTCAGGTGATGATTGAACTAAATTTGCAGCTAAAACGAAATCTCTTGTTCTATTGGGCCATCCATACATAAGTGAGCATCGGTCCATATCTCTAGGGTTAGAACAAGAACACCTAACATGAAATTAAATTCTGCCCTTAAGTTATCTTCAAAGTGTGAATTTTTTTTTTTATTTTTTATTTTTTAAAAACTATATCTTCCTTATTTGAAATAATTTATCTACATGAACACAGTACTGCCCCTTGTTTATTTTATAAACCTCGGTCACCTGTCTGTGCTACTTTGTGATGTATATACTCAGCTCTTTAAGCCTGCCTAGTTAGCTGACAGTTTTTAAAGTAGGAATCAGTGTGCGTTCCTTGTCGGCACCTAATGCAAAGCCTCAATATCCAGATGAGGGCACCAAAGCTGAGTGGACTATAGTAAGTGAAACCTAATCTGGATTTTGTGCAGGACAAACGTTTGTGGGCAGCACTGTCGTTCACTGGTTCGCATTGCTGCCTGACCGTGCCAGGGACCCGGGTTTGATTCCAGCCTCAGGTGACTGTCTGTATAGAGTTTGCACATTCTCCCGTGTCTGTGTGGGTTTCCTCCGGGTGCATCAGTTTCCTCCTACAGTCCAAAGATGTACAGGTTAGATGGATTGGCCATGCTAAATTGTTCTCAGTGTCCAGGGATGTGCAGGCTAGGTGAGTTCCATGGGAAATGCAGGGTTACAGGTAGGGTATGGGGTGGACTTGGGTGGGACGCTCTTCAGAGAGTCGGTGTGGACTTGATGGGCCGAATGGCCTGCTTCCTAACTGTAGGGATTCTATGATTCTTCTATGACAAATAGTATCCTTTGTTTTGTAGTGAATTGTCCTGTAGACTAACCTTGTTTTCTTTTGGTATTGCTTGTGAGCCTTTAGAAACAGATGCACTATACATGACCAATTTTATATTTTCTTTCACTAGTGGTCCAATTCTGTCCCCTGTAAAGTGCATGTAAACTTAACTTTTACACCAGCTCCTGTGTACAACTGAATTAAACATCTTGTACTGGATATGGACCCATATTTGTTGAGATCTCTTGGAATATTTGAGCAACCTCTGCATTTCCAATATTTGCATGTAGTTTGGGATTTTCTACAAACTGGCAATTGCTCTCCACCACCTACATGTAGATCATTATTGGATAAAGAGCAAAGACCCCAACCCCAATCCAATTAAGATAGAACTTTTAATGGGAATCTGAGCAGATGCAAATCTAGTAACCATTTGATGTAGGCTTTCGGGCAAATTTTGCACCATTGCAGTGGACAGAATGTTGTGACATGTGAGGCTGTCTTGAAGAATAGTTTCTTGTGATGTACTTTTTCTAATTATTCAGGATTCTTCTGGGTTGCCCTCAAACATTAACTTGGTATCTTCCTCAAAATATTTAGCTAGATGTGGCCTTCTTTCTGGAATCCATGTTTGAGGATGCCTTGCTACTTTTTTTATATATTCTTTCATGGGGTATGACAGGGCCAGCATTTATTGCATTGAGTTTCAATTCCACCAGCTGGCAAAATGTGATTTGAATCTATACCCACAGAGGATTACGCTGAGTATCTGGAATGCTCGTCTAATGACATTACCACTATATCATTATAGAGCATCTCTTAAGGTATGTTCAAATGGCTTTTGTATTACTGAAGTCAAACTGGTGGGTCTACAGTTAGGTAGCTCTATTATATCATTCTGTCTGACTCTAACCAGCTTTTAATTATCAAGGCACAAGGATACATTCTGTGCCATTTCTTGTGAGGATCCATTTGTCATTGTCAGAAATTGAAGGTCATGGGCCCAAGTCTTTTGTCCCCATCTGTCTTCTGCTGACACCCTGTGGAACAATTCGACTGATACAGATCACACTGTAGAATTGTTATAAATTCTGAACAAAGACATAGGAGCTGAAGTAGGCCATTCAGGCCTGTTCTGTCATACAGTCAGGTCATGGACTAAATAAAAGTACAAGATCTTTTCTTTTTTTTTTATGCCTGATCAGTAATTTGGCTTGTTTTCCTCCTTTGGCTCCATTATCTATTGATGGCCTTGCTCAAATCAGTTTGCTTGGCACAACCCAGGGTTTGAACTTGAGACCATGCAGGTCTGCATGACCCATGTAACTCGCTGACCCATCGAGGGTTGCATTCAGATTGTGTGGTTTCCAAAATGTCAGAAATCTTAATAGATGCTTGCAAGCATAAAGCATATCCTATTATCTGTTTAGGATGAAAATGTCGTGAAATTGACACAAGAACTGGCACAGAAACTGGGGCTAAGGATCCGTAAAGCATATATCAGAGCTCAGGTGAGTGTTATTGACCTGCTGTGTTGTTTTTATTCATTCGTGTGAAGTGGCATCGCTGGCCTGGCCATCACATATTGACCATCCTTAGTTGCCTTTGAGAAACTGCCTGCTTGAATCACTGTAGTCCTGGGATGCAGATAAACCCACAAATTTTGTTACAAAGGAAGTTCCAAGATTTTGACCAGCGACAGTGAAGGAGCGGTGATGTAGGTAATTCAGGTGTGTAGCTTGGAGGGGATCATATGAGAGGTGGTGTTTCCTGGCATGTGGCACTACCCTTCTAGGTGGTAGAGTTTGGAAAGTGCTGTCAAAGGAACTTTGGCGAGTTCCATTTTTCTAGGCTAATATTGACTTCCCTATTGGGGTTCACAGGTGTTATGATAACGATTCCCAAGGGGTTTGCGAAGTTAGATGTTGACAGAATGTTATTCCTCAATGGGAAACTGTTATTGGTCAATATCCCAAGAAATGGGAAGTTACTTTCTGACCCGTCTAGACAGTCAAACCTTGGCCAGGAATTTCCGTCCCACTGATCCTGCTAATTCAGCATGGCATCTGTCATTTGTTCAAGATGCTCTCTGGCCCAGCAAGAAACAGGCCCAATTCTGACTTGAAGAAATGCTGCAAATTATGTCTGCTTTTCGACATCCTGTTCCACAAGTCCATTTAGGAAAGAGCTATTTCTTGATGCCTAACCTAAATTTGGCCTAATGCAAATTAACATTGTGGCCCCTTCTCCAAAGCCCAAGTTTATTGGTTCATTTAAAAATTCAAGGAAAGATTGTTTAGACTGCGAGTATTTTTGAAATGGGGAGGCTGACGGAATATTTTGATTGAATGTGTAAAATTAATGTAGACATAGTGGATAGGAAGGATCTTTACCACTTGCAAATAGAGACCAATAAACAGGAAATAAATTTAAGATAACTGGTAGATAAATTGGAGTGGAGTCGAGGTGAGTTTTGATTTTTGGAGATTGCAGTCCAAGAGTTGGAAATTGGCATTAGTTTGGATAACTGTAAACAAAATACTGTGGATGTTGGATGTCTGAAATCAAAACCAAAGTGCAGGAGAAACTCAGCAGGTTTGGCAGCATCAGTGGAGAGAGAAACAGAGTTACTTTGTAAGTTCAGTGACTCTTCTTTGGAACTGAAGAGGATCATTCTTTTTTCAGCATGACTAGAAAGCCTAGCCATTGATGTTGGAATAGACAGAGGGCAGGTTACAGAGGAGGCCAGTGTCAGAACGTTGGATAATACAAGAGTGGACATCAGAAGAAGAAGATTTTGCTAAACCTTTGATAAATGAGTTGCTAAGTCCCAGATAAAGTACTGTATTCAGCATAAGGCCACGACACTGAAGAAAAATGTCAATAGGACATTTGTTATAATGTTACTTGGCCTGTGAGAATTCAAGTACATGGTGAGGTTGGAGAAGGTGGGATTATTCTCCTTGGAGCAGAGAAGGATCAGGGGAAATTTAACAGATGTTTAAAATCATGAAGCCCTGTCACAAGTACAGTGGGCCAAATGGCCACCTTCTGTACTGTATTTTCTATAAATTGCCTTGTCAGCTCTTGTAGCCTTGTAACCAATACAACATCTTCAATAAAAGCATTACTGTATGATGTACATCATCGCTAAATTGTATGACTGGTGCACCCCTTTCCTATAGTTGTTTTCCTTATCTTCGCTATTCTGGAGCAGACTATGCACTTACACAGAAGGACAGAAGATTGCGTGAGGCAGACATTGTGCCTTTCAATGGAAAAGGCTGCTGTAGACTGCAGCAGTTCAAGAGGCCGCTTCTCAAGGGCAACTAGAGACAGGCAATAAATGCTGGCCAGCCAACATTGCCCACATCTCACAAATGAATAAAAAAAGAGTCTGTGGGAAGTCGAGCCTCTGTTGGAGCTGTCCCTGCATTAAATCTTAATAAGTTCCTTAAGTATTCTCTCTTTCAGCAAGACATGGATACAGTGGGTCTGACAGAGATTGGCCACTCAGTGAACAGTAGCCAGGTAGGTTGACTGCTTTTTATGATTTAGGCCATTGAAGAGTTTTTCTGTAAAGCAATTCTAGTTTGGATTATACTTAATAAGTGACAAGATTATCAATTTTTTTTACTTCAACTTCTGAATTGAATTGATAAACAACTGATTAAAGTCACTAATATACACAAATACAACTTGTTGTTCTCCTAGAATTTTTCCATCATACAGAAAAGATCAAGTCTCAGCCCTGAAAATTATTTTGTGATGGGGCTGGCTCTTCCACTCCTAAACATGAGCTCAAAAATCTAGCATGATACTCCAGTGCAATACTGACGGAATTGTCACCTTTCAGATGAGATGTTAAACCAAGGGTCCATCTGCCCCCTTGGGCAAACATAAAGAGTCCCAGAGTGTTATTTGAAGAAGAGTGGGACTGTGCTGCCCTGTTGTGTGGCAATTATTTATTCCTCAATTGCCCTCGTTGAAAAACCAGATGATCTAATCATTACCTTGTGCTGTTGTGGGATCTTGCTGTGTACCAAGGATGCATGGCCTATGGCGCACAGGCCACACATGGTCAGCCAGACCATGTTATGTGGTCAATGTCTACTTTACTGATAGATGAATTTATGACTGTGAAATTTTCCAAAATATTGTTGTAGTCCATGTAAGGTTATGCTTTGGCCTAAAGCGTTGGGCACTACCACTGTATGCAAATTTGCTGCCACATTTCCTACATTACAGTAATGATGATTTCTATTTAGAAACTTCTCTGTTCCATCAGTCGGTTCAAGCCATTTCAAGATTGAAATCCACTTTGCAGAATTTTAACCATTCACTTAATCTATGAATATCTTTATGTAATTTTATGCTTCACCTGCACTGCTTGTAAATGCTGCCTGCCTTTGTGTCATTAGCGAACTTCGATGCATGGCTCTTCACACACCATCTTAATCGTGAACAAATGCTGTGAAGAGTTAAGGTTTCAATTATAATCCCACTGGTCACCTTCTGAGTACCTGGCCATTATCCCTACTCTGTGCTGTTGTTCAGTCAGTTTGCTAAGTAGGTCAATCGGTTCCTTCAGGTTCACAAGATTTAAACCAAAATCCTCTTAGAAGTTCATATAAATAACATCCCCTACCTTAGCTCCCTCAACCAAAACATTCAACTAGATTCATCAGGCATCATCTTTACTCAATTAGACTAACTGGTCTTCAATTCCCTGTTCTTTTTTCCCTTGTGCCTTTATTAAATAGCTGAGTGCTATGTGCAAATTTCCAATCTAAATTCTTTCCTGATGGTTGTAATCTCAGTTCTACTGTCATCAGGGACATTGGGTTATACAGTGGAAGTACAGTTTCAGTTCTTTATATTCTCCAACAGGTCTCCATAAATGGCACAAGTGGCATTGATGATATAGAATCAGGTGAGTTTCTTTTATGCTTCTTGCTGAAAGAATGTGATTCTGACTAACATACAACAGATCCAGCTGTTGTTCTCCATGCATTGTGCAGCTGTAAAGCTCTCGAGAAATGGGTTTTGATAGAGTTAGGATTTCTGAAGCGACTGGAGACCAGTACAAGTTTTATGAAAATTAATTTTCCAATGACTGACTGAAATAACCAAGGGACAAAATTTCACATTTTAAGATTTATACTGCAACAAACAAACTAAAATCAACACAGATCAAATGTTACATGACAAGCAACTAGTATATTTAATTAAAGAAAATATATTTTCAGATTAAAACAGTAAAGATAAGATTCACAGCCAGCAGGAAGTGTTGGTTTAGTGCTCATGTCACTGGGCAAGTCATCCAGAATCCCATGCTAATGTTCTTGGAACATGGGTTTGAATTTGTGCATGGGGAGATGATGAAATTTGAATTCAGTAAAATCTGGAATTAAAAATGCCGGCCTAATTGTGATGTAAACCACTGTTGATTTATATAAAAGCCCTTCTGGGGAATGCCCAGCCAGTGACACCTGCATCCCATATATAAATAGGCAATATCTGCAGAAACCCACAACTATGTGCACGCTGATCTGAAAAAGCTTGTGCATGCAATTCCAGAACCAATGTATCATCACGTTAGATTTGCAAAGGTTTTTTTGCATATTGCTGTTTGGATACACAAAGGCTGCACTATGCACATGCACAATATTCAAATGGAGTTTGGCATGGTAGAACGGAAGAAAATGGGGCTGGGGAGTAAGGGTTGATGTTGGGAGTGGGGAGCGATGGGACAGTGGTGATATTACATGGATTGAGGACCGAAGGGAGTGAGCCTCCCCACCCCACTCCCATGACCTCTCTTCCCTCCCCTCCTCTCCTGGGCTACATCCACCAGCTCCCTTCTCTATTCACAGTCATATCCCATTTAAAAACCTAACACGAACCCGTTTAAATGCATATACACCTGCAAATGCAGCCTTAAGGAAAACCACCTTTCACTGTGCACCTGAGGGATTTGTAGCATTCCAGGAATAAGTCCAAAGTGGCCTTTAGCTTTCCAACAGACTCATTTCTTCCCACCATACTGGGTCAAAACTCTGTGTCCTTCAGAAATCATTTAGCCTAAATATTCCAGATCTGATTTTCACCAGCATGGCTTCTTGTTCATGAATCAAACACAATTTTGGGAGATTTCTATCCTCCTCTTCTCATCTGATAACCAACTCTCAAAAGCATCTTGTTTGTTAATACCAGAAGAATAATTCTCTGCTCTTCACAGCAGCATCAGGTTTGCTTCTCCAGACAGCAAGATCTGCTTTTACACTTTCCCTCTGTATCTCAAAAAGCAGGGTTGAAAAATGCCACTTCATATTTCATTTGGTCTCTGTTTGCATTTGCTACCAGAAATCCTGATTTTTATTTTTACATAAATTAAATTTTTTAAAACCTGTTCAAGTCCCAGCTCAGTTGCTTCCATGAACAGGTCCAGACCAGGAATTTCCTATGCACCTCAACACAATAAGTCATCAATTTTCCATCTCAAGGCAAAAGGTTGAAGTGTAAAGTCAAAGTTTCTCCAGTTTGCAATTGGATAGGTCTCATGAAGCTGAGTAATTGAGTAACATTGCTATGTTGGGTTAGAAATTGCTTGTTTTGCTTGCCTCCTTTGGTGTCAAATCCTGGAAAATTACTCTGATATCTCTCCCTTTAACTAATATTATTGGGAAATTCCATTTTTACCCTTGTGGGAGAATCTAAGACCAGAGGGTATAATCTCCGAGTCAGGGGACACCCATTTTAGACCAAGATTAGGAGGGTAATAAATTTAGAATTTTTTTTTTAACTGCAAAGCCTTTTAGAGGCTGGGTTGCTAAATGTATTCAAGGCTGAGATAGACAGTAAGGGAATCAAAGGTTATGAGGGGTAAAATCAGGAAAGTGGAGTTGAGGATTAGCGGATCAGCCATGATCTTATTATATGGTAGAGCCAACTTAGTGGGCTGTATGGCCTACTTCTGCTCCGACATCTTATGATCTGATTACGTGACGGTAAGGTTGAGACACCTGAGGGCAGAGGAATTTACAGGTGTCCATGGAAGAAAAGAGTGGCTGAGACCAATCTGGAACACCAGACCTACAGCTAGTGGTTGTTGGGAGGAGAGAAGACTAATGTAGAAACAGGAGGAGAGCATTTAAATTTGTGTTACCACTCACTTAGATCATGGCAGATCTGTGCCTTAACTGTCTTTATCAGCCTTGGTCCTATATTCCCATAGTACTCTTGCATAACAAAAATCTCTTAATCCCTGTTTTGAAATGAATTATCCTCTCACTCTCAGCATCCTTTTTTGGAGGAAAGAGTTTGAGATTTCCACTATCATTAATATTTCCCAATGTCACCCCGAATGTCTTGGCTGTTAAGGTTCTGCATGCTTATAATAAGTATTGAATATTTCTAGAGCTGAGATTTCTGATTGGCAAGGGAGTCAAAAGTTAAAGGGATGAGACGAAAGAAGAGTTGAGGCCACAATCAGATCAGCCTCGATCTTATCAAACGGTGGAGCAGTCTTGAGGGGCTGAATGGTCTACCTCTGCTTCTAACTCATACCTTTGTATGTAAACCCTCAATAGAGATTTGAGCATATAATCTGAGGAGGTACTGCGTTGTTGGACGTGCTATCTTTCAGTAAAGATGTTAAACTGATATCCCAAATGCCCCCTCATGTGGATTTAACAGATCACAATATTATTTAGAGGGCAAGGAAGATGTCCTTGTGGCCTGGCCATCATTCAAATCTCCGTCGTTATCATCTCTCCAAAACCACACATGATCTGGTATTTATCATGCTGCCTATGAGAGCTGGCGGACTACAAATTCCCTGCAACATTTCTCAACATTACAACAGTGACTACTTTACTTTTCAGAAGTACTCTGGGCTATGAAGTTTTTGGAACATCCTGAGGTCATTCAGTGCGCTATCTCAATGCAGCTTTTTAATAGTTATATTCAATCTGCGTTTTTCCCAAATTTCTATTATTAAACGACAAGAACTTCCCATATCACTTAATCACAATTTTTAATCATTTTTGCACAGTTAATAATTTTTATTCGGCTCCAATGTTACACTTCTTATCCCATTATGTGTTATATGCTATATATGAAGATCTTCATAATAATGTCTTCCTGTGAAAATTCTCTGGGAAGTTGAGTAATATCTTATTGAAAATCTTTTACACCATTTTGTCATCATGTGTTACTTCATATTGGCCATGTTATACAACCAGTATTTACCATTGTAAATTGTCATGTTAATATTTCCCTTTCAGTTTTTTATGTCAACTGTCACAATGTAGTCGTAGACTCTAGCCACAAGATTATTCTGTAGTATAAATATCTGAAGTCTTTGTCCTTCTATTGTTTTAAAGAAACTTTCCTTTAATCAACTAACGACTAGTGATTTAATAGTTATATGTAATGATTATGTTTGTGACACTGTTGTGTGTTGCTTCCAAAATGCAGGTTCACCTTTGGAGCTCCCACGTATCCCTGTTCCAGCCACTATTCCTGCGCCAGTCAGTGAAGTTTCAGTCCCCATTTCATCAGTTTCTGTTAGTATCCAGCAAACACAGACACATTCTACTCTACTGAAAACTCCTGTTGGTGATGGGGTCTCTCTCTCAGTGCCTGAAACCACGGAAGAATTTCCAGATGAGGAGATAATTGGAGAAGAACTGGACACATTGTTGGATTCCATTGGGGAGGCAAATGATTTTCCCATGGTAGGAGGCATTAAAAATGATATTTCCAACTATTGGTTTCATCCTGTTCATGCACTTGTGGCATTAATAATCCTTGGTGCCTCAGGGTGACATCAGGGATGATAGGCCACTCCGATTCCTATCACTTGATTATTGTTGACAGTATGTAAGTAGAGACACCAAGAAAGAATAAGGTTTGGCTCAGCTTTGTTGGCCTTCCCCATGTGATATTAGAGCTAGCATTTCCTGCACTATTCGCACATAATGGTCAGTTAGGATATTGCTGAGATGCAGCAAAAACTCCCTGGATTCAGCAAGCAAAGGGTCATAATTGGCAAGGGGAAATTAAGATATGATCATAGTGAGACCACAGTGTTCTAAATTTGTGATGGTCCATGCATTACATACTAGCCTCATGAAGCTAATTACGTTTCAGGTTAGTAACAAAAATTAATAATAGACCAATGTCAGACTTGTATTACCTGTACACTTCGCCATGTTAAATGTGTAGCAACTTCATTCTTTTGATTATTTGTTGATTAAAATCTAAAACAGGGTGTGTAAGAGTTTTCAATTGAGTGCTGGTTGCTGAATTATGGATAATAGTTAGTAAATACATACATATGTGAAATACTGTTCGCTCCATTTGTGTGAGGTGTTTCCAGCCTAACATCATGTTAAAATAGTGTCACTTAGTTCCACTTGTGTAGTTTGAGTTTTGTGTAAGACGATACAGGTAAAAATTGCATCTGACTGGGTGTTTCTGTAAAATATAGAAAGTGTTAAAAATGCACAGGATCTCTGAAAGAAGGCTGTCACCTTTAGTTGAGGAAAGCCTTTTCTGTTGGATTGGTGGAAACTAAGTGATTATATTTGTCCTTGTGAGCAGGTATTATTAACTCTGTTCAAGGGGGAGGGACAGCAAACCTTTCTAGAGGGAAATATTAAGGTATAGCAGTGGGAGTTCAATAAAAGTATCATAGAAGGAAAATGTGTATTTCACTTACCGATAATACACACAATGCAAACTGTTTGTCCAGCCCATGCATCAAAATCCAAACTAAACATCCGCTAATAAATGAGATTCTGCAATTAGGCAGCACTTTCTGAATAATCCCGAGTGTGCTAATAGTTGTGTGAACAGCTAATTCAAGGTGGTCAGTCAAACCTGTAATGTGGGTCATTTACACTTGCTACAAGCTATACATTTATAAAGAGGCCTATTTTCTGGAAACAAAGGCAATATGTTTCAGCTTTGTGACTTTTTGAATAACTATGCAGATTAGGGGCCCATAGTTCTAAGTTGTTCTCTTCATGGCAAAACTTCAACCAATCAGAATCAATTGACTTGCCAACTGATCAGCCTACCTTTCTCCTGTAATATAAATTGTAATGATCATTTGAACTTTTGAATTCTTACTTTTGTTCTGATCTGTGCAAGGTGAAAAGTTTTGGCAACATGTCCCTCTTTTTAGCAATATCTTCGCCCCCAACTGTCCCCATCTGCCAAGTGAGCAGATACAGAAGAATGTTAAACTTTTTATTCTTTAATTCAGGTGTTTCTAAGAATGTTCGTGATTGATAGGTTTTCATGTTGAGAGCATTAACATTGAGGAGCGCACAAATACAGTTACACAAAAACTTTACCCTGGAAAGAAAAAGATCGGGTTTATTTTCAGATGCTCAATTCTCCCATAATCTGGAGGAAAGTTTTTTTTTGTGAGTGTCCCATCTCTAGGTAACCTCAACATTATGTTTGTGACGGGGCCCCAATATCTCAAAGATAATTATATGATTAGCAGGTGTTCTAGGACTCTGGGGGATATAAAAAATGGTGCCAGCTGGTTGTCTGTGTTCAGAACATTACTCCTTGTTATTATTTAAGCAATTGTCATTGGGGAATGGGGATTACAACATTCAAATTTGCAGATTCATACAAATAGGAAGTATAGTTAACTGCGAAGAAGAGGAACTGACTCTGAGCAACAGTACATTGTCATGGAGTCATACAGTACGGAAACCTTCGATCCAACAAGTCCGTGCCGACTATAATCTCAAACTAAACTAGTCCCATCTGCCTGCTCCTGGCCCATATCCGTCCAAACCTTTCCTATTCATGTACTTATCCAAATGTCTTTTTAAACATTGTAATTGTACCCACATCCACCACTTTCTCAGGAAATCCATTCCACATGCGAACGACCCTCTTGTGTTAAAAATTTACCCCTCATGTCTTTTTTCAATCTTTCTCCTCTAACCTTAAAAATGTGTCCCCTAGTCTTGAAATCCCCCATTCTAGGGAAAAGGCAACTACCATTAACTCTATCTATACCTCTCATTATTTTATAAACTTCATAAGGAGTCCTCTCAACCTCCTATGCTCCTGTTTCAAAAAAAAAAAGTCCCAACCTATTCAGCCTTTCCTTATAACTCAAACCTTCCATAACCGGCAACATCCTGGTAAATCTCTTTTAAACCATCTCCAGCTTAATAATATCTTTTCTATAACAAGGAGACCAGAACTGGACATAATATTGCAGAAGAGACCACATCAATGTCCTGTACAACCTCTACATGACTTCCCAACTCCTATCAATCGAAAATGATGATCTTCAGAAGTCCAGAAATATTAAAAGAAGTTACCAAAAATATGGTCAAAGAAACAGTTTTGAAGAAGGCAGGAAATGGGGATAGAAGGGTTTAGGAAGGACATTTCAGAGAATAGGCCTGGATTATTGAGGATACAGCTGCAAAGCAAGGGGCTGATGCACAAGAGGACACAGTGAGAGGAATATAGAGTTTGAGAGTGGCCTCTGGAGGGATTGAAAGACCAGAATTAGAATTTTAGATGTGGGAGGATAGGCAGATAAGGAGGGTAGGCTGGACTCCAGTGGAAGTTAGGGTTTCCTTATGTCAAGGAAAACCTGACAAATTCATGAAATTGGTAAATTACCCAGGCTTGAGGAAATCATTTGAATTTCCAAAAAATTTTCAAACATGTAACTGAAAAGTTAAAGGTAGAGGTGAGACTTTTCTGACGCTGAGCAGCGTTCCTATCTTTTCCATTGTTTTAATCAACATCCCCTTCCTCTTCTCTGTTACTGTTTGCTTTACTGTGAGTATCTAGAGTCCAGTGCGGATAAATAGACTCTTGATCCTGTATTAAGCACTCTTCATTGATCACAAAAATTCTACAGAACAAGGTAAGCTTGTAAGAACTGGAGGTGCTGGGTAACTGGTGCACAATGCCTGCTTGGTGCAACCAGAGTTTGTGATTGTATTTGAAAGAAAAATGCTCATGAAAAATTTCAATTTGGATGTGGAGACGTCCTGGTGTATTATTTTGTTGCAGAAGCCCTGTGGATTGTATGCTAAAACATACAAGGTTATGGACCAAGTGCTGGAAAATGAGATTAGAATAGTTAGGTGGTGGTTTTTCACTGGTACAGACTCAATGGGCCGAAGGGCCTTTTCCTGTGACTCTATAGAGAGCGGAGTTTGCAGAGGCTAAAGTGGACTTTGTAAAGTCAGACAATTGAGACAGTGAGATTTTTCGCTATGGTTTTCCATTGAATTAATTCCTTTTGAGGTGCAATGACTCATTATAGAGGTTAAAAATTCTCATGCCAACTGTGGTTAGTTCTTGCTTTTGCTGACAGAAGGAAAGCAACCATTTGTTTTTTTTTTCCCATGCCCTGAATTTATTTGCCGAGAAGTTGAAAGCAGTTAAAATCTTGTGCTGTATAAGACAGATCGCAATTTGTCAAGTCTTTTTTGCTTTATTTCACAGACCTCAGTGGCTGGGACTGTTCCGACAAACCTACCCAGTGACATGCCGCGTTTACTTCCCATCTTTCGCACTGGTAGCCCGGTCCTCCCATCTGCCCTGAAGGGGAACATTGGCTCAAAGGTTTCACTCCCATCAGCCTATCCAATGCTTTCTGTCCAGAAGATGGACTCCCTGGATAGCATCGTTCCAAACACAATCGTAAATAGTTTGGATTCCTTGGACCTACTCCCTGCAACGGAATCTCGGCCTGGTAAGGGTTTACCCATCCTTTGTCCCTTTTGTGTAATCTGTGTGTAAACTGAAGGAACATTGACATGCAAGGAGTATAAGGCAGATTCACCAGAATGTTACCAGGACTTCATGGGTTAAATTATGAAGAGCAGTTGGTTCGAGTTGGTTTGTATTTCCTGGTAAATAGAGGTAAGGGGTGTTTTAGGAACATAGGATCAGGAGTAGGCCATTCATCCCCTCGAGCCTGTGCGACCATTCAACGAAATCATGGCAGATCTGGGGCCTAATTCCATATACCTGCCTTTGGCCCATATCCAATAATACCTTAACAAAAAAAAACTACGTCAAATTTAATATGAACAACTGATTCAGCATCCACTGCTATTTGTGAAAGAGAGTTCCAAACATATACTACCTTATATGTGTAGAAGTGCTTCCAAACATCTTTCCTGAGCGGTCTGACCCTAATTCTCAGGCTACACGCCCTAGTTCTAGAATCCCCAAACAGTGGAAATGGTTTATCTTTCTCTACATTGTCTTTCCCTGTTAAAATCTTGAAGACTTTGGTCAAATCATCCCTTAACCTTCTAAGCAGGCCTAATTTGTGTAATCTCTCCTCATAAGTTAACCCCTGAAGTCCAGGTATCATTCTTGTAAACCTATATTGCATTTGCTCCAAGTACAATGTAACTTTCCCAAGGTATGGTGCCCAGATATGCTCACAGTACTCCAAGTGGGGTCTAACCTAGATTTTGCATAAATGCAGCACAGCGTCTACATTCTTATACTCCAGTCCTCTAGAAAGAAAGGCCAACATTCCATTAGCTTTCTTGATTATTTTCTGCACCTGATTGTGAAATTTTAAAATCTACTTACTTGGACCCTCAAGACTCTTTGGACATCCATTATAAGTGGAAGGTTTTATGATTTTGAAAGGAGTTGACCCAAACCAGGCCATCAGAAGGAAAGTTAGAAAGCAGCTCATCACACTAAAACATGGTGGAAAGTGCAGAATTCTGTCCCTCAAGGAGCAGTGGATGCTGGTCAATTAATAGTTCTAAACGAAGATTGATTGACAGTTTTATTTTCTCTAGCCAAGACAAATGGATGGCACTGAATCCAAAATGAACGAGTTCTCGTAAGACTGAACAGGCTTGGTTCTTGCCTTTTGAAAAGGCGGGTGACCTGATGGAAAAGTCTTTACCCAGATTGTGAAGCTCACTCCCATAAGGCATGGCGAAGCTGAACACCATCCATACGTTTAATGCCAAGTTAGATTAAAAACACAAGGGCAAAAGAAAGAGAAGGGTGGGCAGGGAGAAGTCTCCTGGAGGCGTAGCCACTGAGTTTGGAATAGATGTTGGACAGGTTACAGAAGAGACCAGAGTCAAGAAGTTAGATGGCACAAGACGGGATGTTGGATAGAGAAGAAGATGATAGTAAATGTTGTATTAATCACTGGTTGGATTCTGGCTAAAGAATTGTATTCTGTTCTAGGGTGCCATACGTTAGGAAGATTGTCAACAGAGAACTCATTAGAATAGTGCCAGGGCTGTAGAACTTCAGTAATGTGGAGAGATTGCAGAATCTGGGATTGTTCTCCAACAGGTGGAGAAGATTTAAGTGGAGAATTAATAGAGGATAGAAGACCCATCACTGGTCCAGTGGGCAATGACTTCCTTCTGTGCTGCATCGTAACTATCACAGATCTGTTGGAGCAAGTGGTCTGTTTAAACTGAAATATCTGTGATTTGTTATTTGACTTGAGGAAGCGGGAATAAGTCTGATCACTTCTCTAGTTTTAAAAAGTCACTAGAATAGTAACTAAAATATAAAAAATGAATTTTGCTATGCTTCCCTAGCTTCAAGACCAATGACACCAAACAGTAATCAAAGTACCTCCAGCAGCTTTGCACTGGTAAGTGTAAAAAGTTCATGTTCACCTTTCTTTGTAACCAGGTTGATGTTCAGCAAGAAAGGGACTTTGTTTCTGTAAATGTCGTATTCATGGTGAGTTAATCTTCACATGTTTGCATGTCCCACAGCCGCAGTCACCTTGTCTCCTTTCTCTGAAGGGCAGGGATCCAGTTCTGACCTTGGCCCAAGTATTCATGTGCCAAGCCTGAGAATTGAATGGAGAGGGCCAGTACCGACAGCAAAGATCACACCTCACCCATGCTTTGCAGGAAAAGGCACTAGTGTGGCAAAATAGCAATGCAGTGTCCTGAATTGATAATCCTGAGATGTGTTAAATTGAATGGACAGCACTGTGCTGATGAGAGGGTTGTTTAATTCTTTGTGGAAGAAGGAGATCTGGATATTTCCAATATTTTCTCCATTTTTATTTTACACTTACAGTATCTGCAGTTTTTTTTTTGCGTGGGGGTTGTTCAATTTAACTTAAAAATTTTAGATGTTGTCAAATCATTTAGCGTGAACGTTCCCTCTGTTTTTTTTGTCCAGGCCATTAATGTAGAATATGAATAGTTGTGTTCCCAATGCTGACCCCTGCAGAACTCCATTAGTCACTGGCTACTATCCTGAAAAATGCCCCTCTGTCTTCGCCTGTGCCTTCTGCCTGTCAGCCGATCTTCTACCCACACCTGTACCTTTCTCCTAAAACCATGGGCTCTTCTCTACTTTAGCAGCTTCCTGTGCAGCACCTTGTCAACGGCCTTCTGGAAATCCAAATAAATCACGTCTACTGGCTCTCCTTTGCCTGACTTGCTTGTTATCTGTTCAAAGAATTCGAACAGATTTGTCAGGCACGACCTTCCTTCGATGAAACCATGCTGACTCAGCCCTATTTTATCATGCACTTCCATATACTCCGCAATCTTAACTTTCAATAAAGGACTCTCATAACCCAATTTTTCAGCCATGCGTTTACCTCTTTAATTTTGTTGACCCGGTTCTAATTTGCCCATGGCCCAGGTAGCAATCTGGAGATTATTACCTCTTTGATTCCACTTTTAAATGTAGCTCCTAGTTGCCGATATTCCCTCAACAGAATCGCTTTCCTCTTTCAATCTATATTGTTGGTGCCTATATGGACCACAGCAACTGGATCTTTCCCCTCCCACTCTAAGTTCCTCAGCAGCCCAGATGAGAGATCCCGAACCCAGGCACCAGTAGCCAACACAGCTTTCAGAACTCTCAATCCAGGCCACAGAGAACAATATTTATTCAAAAACAGAAGTTGCTGGAAAAGCTCAGCAGGAACTCTGTTTTTTCTTCACAGACGCTGCCAGACCTGCTGAACTTTTCCAGCAACTTCTGTTTTTGTTCCTGATTTACAGCATTCACGGTTCTTTCAATTTTTAGCAGTGTCTGTTCCCCTGACTGTACTATCCCTGATTACAACTACATTTCTCTTTACTCTCCCCCCGTCTTGAATGGCTCCCTGTACCACTGGTCAATTTGCTCATCCTCCCTACAGCGTCACACTCATCCACACAGGGAGCAAGAATCTCAAACCTGTTAGACAAGCTCAAGGGTTGAGACTCTTTCTGTTCTCTCTCCTGGATCCCTCTATCTGCCTCACTGGTGGTCACTCCCTCCTGTCCTTAACCACTAACTGAATTTGAGGTAGTTAATCTAAAGGGTGTGACTGTCTCCTGAAACACAGCATCCGATTTACACTCTCCCCGCCTGATGTGTCACACTGTTCAAAGCTCAGAATCCAGTTTATCAACTCTGAGCTGGAGCTTCTCAAGCAACCATCGCTTGCTTCAGATGTGGTCACTATGAACCACAATGGGGTCCCCAGATCCCACATCAAGCAGGTAAAGCACATTGCCTGGCCCTGCAGCTCTACTTAATTTTTAATTTTATTTTTGGAGATTTCTCACTGTGTTTTCATTGGTATCCTGTAAATATTTACCCTATTTACCTTCAGTGTGAAAGTAACCTACAATAAATAGTCAAATTAGTAGCTAATGAACATATGGCTTTCCTGTGATGTCACTCTCTTTGTGCTGGGTCCCTGATCCTGGGCTTCAATTTATCCCATAAAAAAGCACCACTTCCCCTCACATCAAAATCCCAAGCTGCCTCCATATTCCCTGAACTTCATACTCACTCGATCTGTGTCTCGCTCTCGATGTGATCTCTCCTCCCCAACCATGCACAGCCTCAACTTCTTCGTTCTAACCTCATAAACAGAAGTTCTTCTTCCCTGGAGCTATTTTTATAAATTGTTTCTGCATTTTCTCCAATGCATTCACATCCTCTAATGCATTCACATCCTCCCTTTCATGTGGCGCCCAGAACTGTACACAATACCCAGCTGAAGAGTAACACATTTGTCAAACAGGATTTCACTTTCATAAAACCATGTTGACTTGTTTTAATCTTACTATACTTTTGTAAGTAGTTTGTTTAGAATTCCTCAGTAATAGATCCTGATGCTGTCTGATGACTGATGTTAAATTCACTCGGCTTTAGTTCTATTTTCTCTCTCTCCCTCCCTCCTTTAAATAGTGGAGTTACATTTATTAACTTCCAATCTGCTGGAATCATTCCAGAATCTAGTCAGTAAATTGACGATTTGTGCAGCTGTCTCTTCTGGAACTCTAGGATTAGGAAATCAGGAACAGAGCATGAATCTATGGAGTTCTTTGCCTCAGAGGGCTGTAGAAGCTGGATTGTTAAGTATATTCCAGGCAGAGATAGACAGACTTTTAATCACTATGGAGAAATTGAGGGTTGTGGGGAAAAGGCAGAAGAGTGGAGTTGAGGATGATCAGATCAGCCACGATCTGGTTGAATGGGAGAGACTTGATGAACTGAATGGCCTATTTCTGCTCCCCTGTATTATGGAAATTGGGGGATTTGTCAGATTTTAATCCCTCAAGTTTTCCCAATTTATTTTTCTCTGATAATTAATTACCTAAATTACCTCACTGTTATTAGCCCCCTTGTTACCTTGTATTTCTGGTAACTCTGTTCGGTTGTGAAGACAGTCACAAAATATTCATCAATGTCGATGCCATTTCATCATTCTCAACAATTTCTGCTGTCTCTGCTTTTAAGGGACCAGTGTTTATTTTAGTTATCCCTTTTTAATATAGTTGTGAAACCTTTTACAATCTGTTTTCTCTTTTTTTCGCTAGTTTACTCATGTCCTTTTTTTTCCCCTTGCTATCAGCTTTTTGGTAGCCCTTCACTGGTTTCTAAAACACTTCTATCCTAGATTTACTTTCAGATTCTTTCAGCACTGCAGCCACTTCTTTTAATTGGATACTATCCTTAACCTAGTCGGTACACCACAGAATAATTTCTCAGTGAGTTTGTGTTATAGAATATATTTTGGTCAAACATTTTGAATTGTTTCTTTAAATATTTCCTGCCGTTTATTTACTGCTGAACCTTTTCAGTCGATTTATCTGATTCTCCTTAACCAACTCTCCCCATGCGCCCATGTAATTTGCTTTTTTAAGATTCTTGTTCGCGATTTTTTTTTTTTGTTTATTGGATCTGGCCATTACAGATGAGACCAGCATTTATTACCCATCCCCAATTGCCCAGAGGGCAGTTAAGAGTCACCCACATTGCTGTGGGTCTGGTCAAAAGGGCAGTTCAGGCAGTTTCCCTCCCTGAAGGACATTAGTGAATCAGATGGGGTTTTCTGACAATTGACAATGGATTCACGGTCGTCATTAAACCCTTAATACCAGGTTTTTTGTTGGATTCAGATTCCACCCTCTGCCATGGCAGGATTTGAACCCCAGTCCCTGGAATATTACCCAGGTCTCTGGATTAACAATTTAGTGATAATACACTGATGATAATGATGATAATGCTCAATACTTCATCTAAATAACTTTATTTTTTTGCCGGTTCCACAGTCCATTACTCCAGAAAACTGTTGCGAAAGCATTCTTCAAACTCCTCTTCCAGACTACTAATTTGCTTGGCTCAGTCTATATAAAGATTAAATTCCTCCACATCTGTTGCATGTTACTTTTGTTACAAGCTTCAACTATTTCTTGTTTAATGCTCCCTCCTGCAGTATAACTATAGTTAGAAGTTGAGGCAGTGGTTGAGTTGCTGAAGCTAACCAGACTGAAAGATGGATTTCTGACCTGTGCTGGGTTAGCTGAAGTGAGCTGAAACAACCCTTACAGCTGCTGATCTGGCCTGTCTCCAACAATACAAATAAACCAAGTTTCGACTCCTAACTCCGGAACCTTCACTACCTTATGGAATGCACACTTTTTTGTGGATGTCAGGATCAGAATTTTTTACAATGCTTCACACAGTTTAAACAGTATGGGACATCATTGTTGAAGCACTCATGCAAGTAATGATTGCTGCGTGAGCTATTGGAGACCAACAGACACTCACAGAGACGCAGTCTATCATGTAGGCAGCACTTCAAGGCTGGGGTGGTCGATAATTAACAAGGGTTTTTCTTCTTAAACCAATACAATCATCCATCTAGTAAGATGATATGTACTTTGTTCTGGCCTTGACTACTGCCTCCTCCTCATTTTGTATGGCAGGGTAAGCAATCCAACAGCCTGTCCTCCTTGAGCAGTTCCTCAACATACCTTGGAGTAGTGCGAGGAGACAGTAGGTCGTTCTTGTCATCATCATCGCCACTGACGAAGAACCCACTCAGTGACACACATGACCTGCGCCAGGCTTGCTCCAGCTGCTTCGTTAAAATAGGTAAAGGAACATTGCAGCTAGAATCGGGGACCCAGGTTTGATTCCAGCCTCGGGTGACTGTCTGTGTGGAGTTTGCACATTCTCCCCGTGTCCGCTTGGGCTTCCTCCGGGTGCTCCGGTTTCTTCCCACAGTCCAAAGATGTGCAGGTTAGGGTGGATTGGCCATGCTAAATTGCCATAGTTCCAGGGATATAGAGTCTAGGTGGGTTAGCCAAGCGAAATGCAGGGTTACAGGGATAATGGGTCAATGTGGATTAGATGGGCCGAATGGCCTGTTTCTACACTAGGGATTCTGTGATCTATGATCTGTGAATCCAAACAGCCCCTTGTGGTTGCTGTGCCCAAGGTGGTGAGCTGTCCTCTCGTTGTCGGCTATGGACAGGGTTCACAGGAACTTGAGAATGAGGCGAAGGAATAAAATTCCTCAAGCCTGCTTTGCCATTCGGTAAGATCATGGCAGATGTGATTGTGGCCTTAACTCCACTTTCCTGTTGGCCATCCATTTTATATGTAGCCGTTTGAGCTAAGCAGCTGTCATTTCTTTGGCAGTTTTGAGTGTTTGTCGGTCTTCTGACTACAAGTGAAACCTGTCACAACAAGGAAACCTAAAAGCTCTCTGTGTTTGCCAGGACCATCCATAGCAATGCAACTAATGATAGGGAGATGACCATTTTCCTGGTTGGAAATGAGGGGAAATCTTATAGTAACAAGAAAAGGGAACTCTAGCTAGCTGTGTGACAGAGTGATGAGCTGAAGGTTTCTTTGAAGCTATCAATTTGATGGTGTCATAGAAGAAGGTGGTGATTGGGCAGGTTTTTGGGGATAGTAAGAGGGTGGTTTGACATTGGAGTAGTCCAAAGTCTCCCTTTGAGATTATTAGAGAGTGGTATCAGCCAAGAACTGGCCCAGTCTACATGGGTATGGGAAGTGAGTAGATGGTAATCTGCTTTAAGTCAACTGTCATAGCCAGAAATGGCTGTATTGACCTCAGTACTAGATGTCCATGAGGGATCATCTCTAGATGACACCAGAGGACAAAATCGGCTTTGTGAAAGCAGCAAGAGTGTTAAAATTCAGTGAATAAATTGACTAGGAAGAGTGGTGGGGGAGGGTGGGGGCAGCCAGGAGCCAATCTCCTTAAAAATAATTTGCTTATTCTAGTTTGTCTGCCATGACTCAATGCCCTGGCGTGCTTCTTAAGTGTTTTCTCCTTTTTATGTTTTGCTGTTTCAGGCATTAAAGCATTAGATTATAATTATAACCCTGACCTGGATCACAAGTGTGGAAAAGATATATTGATTGGAAGATTGAAGAGTTCAACAGACACACGGTGGAAGAAAATCAGGCCTCGGCCTACCAAGAATAATTATGGGGGGCCATACTACATTTGTAAAGGTGTGTGGAGTGTATGGTACTTTGTACCACAAATGGGCCAGGTTAAATGAAAGTTCCATAAATATGCAGCGATCACTAATAAATCTAACAGGGAATTCAGGAGAAATGTCTCTATATTCAGCATGTACAACTCACTACCACAAAGAGTGGTTGAAGTGGTTAGTATACGTGGAAAGCTAGAGAAACACATGAGGGAAGGGAAGAAGCTCTTCTTTGGAGTGCACACATACAGAGATTTGCCAAGACAACTGCTGTTAAATGGGGAGGCAATGGCCTAGTTGTATTATTGCTAGACAATTAATCCAGAAACTCAGCTCGTATTCTGGGGACCCGGGTTCAAATCCTGCCATGGTAGATAGTGGAATTTGAATTCAATAAAGAATCTGGAATTAAGGGTGTAATAGTGACCGTGAAACCATTGTCGATTGTCAGAAAAACCCATCTGGTTCACTAAAGTCCTGTAGGGAAGGCAATTGCCATCCTTTCCTAGTGTGACCTACATGTGACTGCCGACCCACAGCAATGTGGTTGACTCTTAACTGCCCCCTGCTCAATTAGGGATGGGCAATAAATGCTGGCCTAGCCAGCGATGCCTACATCCCGTGAGTAAATTTTAAAAAATCAAGTTGGTGGCCGATTACAGGACCTGCCCGATTTCTGTTGTTGTGCGTCGAGGGCACTAATGCTGCCTTTATACCTGGCTGAAAGGTGTGAGATGACCCCCTCTTTGGTTATTTTAATCTCCCTGTTCAGGTGTGTTATGACTCACCTCTTGGACAGGTGGGACTTGAATCTGGATCTTCTGGCCCACAGGTAGGGACACTACCACTGCATCACACGTGCACGAAAAAACTGGGAGTGGGATTCAGCTGGTTTCTTTTAAAAACTTGATGGCACTCAAGCAAGACTCATCTGTATAAACTGGACATGAGGTCAGAGTGTCAGCTGTGGCTCAGTGGATATCTGCTCTACCTCTGAGTCAGAAGATTCAAGTCCCACAAAATCCAAGCTGTGGAGCGTTGGTGACATAGTTGGATTGTCACTAAACAAATAATCCAGAGACCTAGACTTGTGCTCTATGTTCAGGATCCCAGCATGTTGATTGGTATAAATTAAATTCAGTTTCTAAATTCGAAATTGAAAGCTAGTTAATCTTGTCAATGATGATTGTGAAATTGTCATTGATTGTCATAAAAACCATCTGGCCCTTTAGGGAGGGAAATCTGCTGTCCTTAGCTGGTCTGGCATAAAAGTGACTCCAGATTTAAAGTCCAGGTAGGGAAGATTTGAGTTATAAAGAAAGGCAGGATAAACTGGGACTTTTTTCACTGGAGCATAGCAGGTTGAGGGGTGACCTTATAGAAATTTATAAAATCCTGAGGGATATAGATAAGGTTAATGGTAGGTGTCTTTTCCCTAGCATACGGGGTTTCAAGACTAGGGGACACACTTTTACAGTGAAAGGAGAGAGATTTTAAAAAGACACGAGGGGCATGTTTTATACACAGAAGGTAGTTTGTGTGTGGAATCAACTTCCGGAGGAGGTGGATGTTCGCAGGTAAAGGGACGACTGGAAAATGGGAAGCCTTCAAAAAAGAGATAACAAGAGTCCAGAAACAGTATGTTCCTGTTAGGCTGGTAGGTGTAGGGAATGCTGGATGACTAGAGAAATTGAGGTTTTGGTCAAGAAAAGGAAGGAAGGAAGCATCTGTAGATAGCAGAGATTGGGTGAATCCCTAGAAGAGTATAAAGGCAGTAGGAGTATACTTAACCGGGAAATCGGGAGGACAAAAAGGAGGCATAAGATAGCTTTGGCAAATAGGGTTAAGGATAATCCAGAGAGATTTTACAAATACATTAAGGACCAAAGATTAACAAGGGAGAAAATAAGCTGCCTTAATGATCTTTAAGGGGCCCTATGCGTGGAACCGCAGGAAATGGGGGCGATACCAAATGAGAATTTTGCATCAGTGTTTACTGTGGAAAAGGATATGGAAGATAGACAGCATGGGGGAAATAAATAGCGACATCTTGAAAAATATCCCTATCACAGAGGAGGAGATGCTGTACATCTTAAAATGCATAAAGGTAGATAAATCCCCAGGACCTGATCAGGTGTACCCTACAACTTTGTGGGAAGCTAGGAAAGCGATTGTGGGCCTCTTGCTGAGATATTTGTATCATAGTCAGCCACAGGTGAGGTGCTGGAAGACTGGAGGTTGCCTAACGTGGTGCCACTATTTAAGAAAGGTAAGGAAAAGCCAGGGAACTATAGACTAGTGAGCCTGACATCGGTAGTGGGCAAGTTGTTGGAGGGGATCCTGAGGGACAGAATTTACATGTATTTGGAAAGGCAAGGACTGATCAGGGATAGCCAACATGGCTTTGTGCATAGGAAATCACGTCTCACTAACTTGAATGAGTTTTTTGGAGAAGTAACAAAGAGGATTGATGAGGGTAGAGCGGTGGACTTCAGTATGGCATTTGACAAGGTTCCCCATGGTAGACTGGTTAGCAAGGTTAGATCACAATGAATACAGAGAACTAGCCATCTGGATACAGAACTGGCTCAAAGGTAGAAGACAGAGGGTGGTGGTGGAGAGTTGCTTTTCAGACTGGAGGCCTGTGACCTGTGGTGTGCCACAAGGTTCGGTGCTGGGTCCACCTCTTTTCATCATTTATATAAATGATTTGGAAGTGAACATCGGAGGTATGGTTAGTAAGTTTGAAGATGACACTAAAATTGGAGGTGTAGTGGACAGCGAAGAAAGTTACCTTAGAGTACAAGGGGACCTTGATCAGATGGGCCAATGGACTGAGGAGTGGCAGATGGAGTTTAATTTAGATAAATGTGAGGTGCTGTATTTTGGAAAGGCAAATGAGGGCAGGACTTATACATTTAATGGTAACGTCCTGGTGAATGTTGCTGAACAAAGAGCTCTTAGAGTGCAGATTCATAGTTCCTTGAAAGTGCAGTCGCAATTAGACAGCATAGTGAAGAAGGCATTTGGTATGCTTGCTTTTATTGGTCAGTGCATTGATTATGGGAGTTGGGAGGTCATGTTGCGGCTGTACAGGACATTGGTTAGGACACTTTTGCAATACTGTGTGCAGATCTGGTCTCCCTGCTATATGAAGGATGTTGTGAAACTTCAAAGGGTTCAGAAAAAAATTACAAAGATGTTGCTGGGGTTGGAGGGTTGGAGGGTTTGAGCTATAGGGAGAAGCTGAATAGGCTGGGGCTATTTTCCCTGGAGGTTTGGAGGCTGAGGTGTGACCTTATAGAGGAATAGCTAAGGTTTTTTCCCTGGGGTGGGGGAGTCTAAAACTAGAAGGCATAGGTTTAAGGTGAGACCGGTAAGATATAAAAGGGATCTAAGGGGCAACTTTTTCACGCAGAGGGTGGTGAGTGTATGGAATGAGTTGCCAGAGAAGGTGGTGGAGGCTGGTACAATTACAACATTCAAAAGGCATCTGGATGGGTACATGAATAGGAAAGATTTAGAGGGACATGAGCCAAATGCTGGCAAATGGGACTAGATTAATTTAGGATATCTGGTCGGCATGGACGAGTTGGACTGAAAGGTCTGTTTCAATGCTGTACAGCTGTATGATTGTATAAGTGGTAGATGCAGGTACAATTACAATGTTTGAAAGATATTTGGATAATTACGTGAATAGGAAAGATTTGGGGGGATTAGTTTTAGTTTGGGATTATGTTTGGCATGGACTGGTTGGACCGAAGGGTCTGTTTTCTTGCTGTAGAACTTTATGACTCTGAAATGGCCTATCATATCATTAAGTTGTGCAGGATGGTGTCTCAGTGGTTAGCACTCTTAACAGCACTTGGGATCTGAGTTTGATTTCAGCCTTGGGCGACTGTCTGTGTGGAATTTGCACGTTTTCCCGTATTTGTGTGGGTTTCCTCCCAGGTGAAAAATGTGCAGGTTAGGTGGTTTGGTGATTGGTAAAGTTGCCTTGTAATTTCCCGGGATGTGCAGGTTTGGTGGGTTAGTTATGGTAAAAACCCTGTGTGGAGTTATGGATATGGGCTGGGTTTAGGTGGGATGGTCTTTGGAGGGTTGTTGCAGACTCAACAGGCTGAAAGGCCTATTTCTGCACTGTAGGGATTCTATGAATTATACCACACCAGAATGTCAGCACTGGTTCAGAAGACTACCTTCTCATGGATAACAAATGCCACTAATATTCACATCTCATGAAAGATCAATAAAGAAAAATATTTCTGGTACAGTATTGAGTGGGTGCTGGACTGTTAGAGGTGCATCTTTCAGATAAGCTGTTGAACTGGGGCCCCATCTGCTCGCTTAGGTTGTTATGGACCAGACCAGAGCCCCTTCAAAATATATGAAGAAGGTAGCCTAGACCATAACTTTTTCTTATTTGAAATGTAAATATGAAGTGCTGTGCCTCAGGTGCAGTTTGATTTGTCAATCTTCTCAATGTTAAGCAAAACCTAATTTATTCAAACACTATAGTTAAAATGCAGTAAAAGAAGGGGAACTTGGAATATCTTGCAGAGTAATAGATTATTTTACTACTAAACATTAACTGTTCCAATATAGCAACATCCCACAAGCACACCTTTGGCAAAAGGCAAATTCAGAAAACAGATTGGAGAACTGCATTGGAAGCAATCAAGGAGGAAAGAACATCAAAAAATAATTCAGAGAGAGAGAGAACTCCAGCTTTCAGCAGAGAGAGATGTGGCAACTTTTCACTTCTTCAAGACCCCAACAGCAAGTGCTGAAAACTGAAGATCTTTGGTTATGTGGGAATTTGACCAGACCCACTCAGGCTGCTTCTGTTGTTCCAATTTTTTAAAAAAATCCAAGTTTCACAAGTTGTTTATCTTCTCATAGACTGCTCCGTACCTGTCTTCCAATCTCTCTCTAATAGAAACCATGACGCAACACACCTCTTGAAGGCATAGTATTGTCACAAGGCACTATTTTAAAGGAGAGTGCAGTTCCCAGTGCCTGACCAATATCCCTCAACCAACACCAAGAAACAGATGATACAATCCATTATTTCTTTAGGGTTCGCTATGCACAATTTGGATTTTTTGTTTTCTGCGCTACAATCAACAGTGACTGCATTTCAAATATACTTAATTGGTTGTAAAATGCTCTGAGATGTCTTGAGGACATGAAAGGCACTATTTTAAGTGCAAGTCAACTCACAGATGTTTTGCATATGTGTGATATTACTTGGGGAAACTGTGGCCCAGACAGCAGTAAATATTTAAACAACATTTGTGCTCAAGGTTGTCAGATATCAGGTAATTTGTTCTGCTTTCCACAAAAAAGTGTCCTATCAGGGATTAGAGCATAAGTATTTCCTTTGACAAGGCCCCGCATGGCAGGCTAGTCATGAAAGTTAGGTCCAGGGAGAGCTAGCTAATTAGATTCAAAGTTGTCTCGATGGTAGGAAGCAGAGGGTGATGGTTGAAGACTGTTTCTCAACTGAAGGCCTGTGACTAGTGGTGTGCCACAGGGGTCGGTGCTGGGACCTTTGTTATTTGTTATTTACATAGATGATCTGGATATGAATGCGTAAGGCCTGATTTAAGTTTGCGGATGATACAAAATTAGGAGATATCGTTGATGGCAAAGAAGGTTATCAAAAATTTCAGAGCGATCTTGATCAAATGGGGAAGTGGGCTGAGGATTGGCAAATGTAATTCAATACAGGTAAGTGTGAGGTGTTGCACCTTGGAAAGTCAAACCAAGGTAGAACTTATACAGTAAATGGTGAGATCCTCAGGAGTGTTGTGGAACAGAGGGACCTAGAAGCACAAGTACATAGTTATTGAAAGCAGCACCACGAATGGACAGGGTGGTGAAGAAGGCATTTAGCTTTCTGGCCTTCATCGGTTGAGGCATTGAGTTTAGGAGTTGGGATGTTGTGTTACAGTTGTATTAGTGTTTGGTGAGGCCGCACTTGGAGTATTGTGTACAGTTTTGGTCATCCTATTATAGGGAAGACATAGTTAAACTGGAAAGTGTGCAAAGAAGATTTACGAGGATGTTGCCAGGACTAGTAAGCCTGAGTTATAGGGAGAGGTTGACCAGGATAGGACTTTATTCCTTGGAATGAAGGAGAATGAGGGGTGACCTTATTGAGGTGAATAAAATCATGAGGAGCATAGATAGGATGAATGCATATAGTCTTTTTCCCAGGGATGAGAAATTGAAAACTGGAGGGCATAGGTTTAAGGTGAGAGGGGAAAGATTTAAGAAGGACCTGAGGGGCAAATTCTTCACATAGAGAGTGATGCATATATGGAATGAGCTGCCAGAGAAAGTGATTGAGGCAGGTACAATAGCAACATTTAAAAAAAAACATTTGGATAGGTACATGGATGGGAAAAGTTTAGAGGGATATGGACCAAATGCAGGCAATTGGAGCTAGCTGAGTGGGCACCATGGTCGGCATGGACCAGTTTGGGCCAAAAGGCCTGCTTCCATGTTGTATCACTCTATGACGTTTAAGTGCGCACACCACACTTGTCATGTACTGGAGAACTGGGTTGTGCTGCCCCAGAATTAGCATCTTCTGCGAAAGAAGTGGGGACGTGATGACGTAATGGTCATATCACTGGATTAGTAATCCAGAAACCCAGGCTAATGTTGTGGGTACCTGGGTTCGAATCCACCCCTGGCTGATAGAGAAACTTAAATTTCACATTTCTATTGAATTTTTTAAAAACCTAGTCTCATGGTGACCATGTAACCATTGTCTGTTGTTGTAAAGGCCCATCTAGTTCATTAATGTTCTTTAGAGAAGGAAGTCTGCCATCCTTACCCAGTCTGGCCCAGATGTGACTCCAGAGCCACAGCAATGTGGTTTACCATTAATTGCCCTCTGGACAATAATGCTGGCTCAACCAGTGGTGCCCACATCCATGAATGAATAAAAAAAAATCAGCAAGTTGATGGAGAGCAGAGAAAAGGGACCAAGTTTAAAATGCACAGTGAATTCTAATTATAAAGCTGATAACTTTCATTTTGTTTATCCACAGATATCGCGAGTAAAGAAGATTGCAAATATGGGGACCAGTGTACATTTGCTTATTGTCAAGAGGAGATAGATGTTTGGACTTTGGAACGTAAAGGAGCCATAAACCGCGAGCTACTCTTCGATCCACTGGGGGGTGACACGAGAGGCAGCCTCACAGTAGCTAAACTGCTGAAGGAACATCTTGGCTGCTTTATGTTCCTTTGTGAGGTGAGATGGTGTAACAAACGTGGAAGTCCTGCATTGGTAGTGCCTGCATAGATCAGACCTGCAGTTGTCTCCACTTCTTGACACAGCAGCATTAAAATCCTCATCCTTGTCTTCACGGCCTCACCCCTCCCAATTTAACTTACTCCAGCTCTAAAGCTTTCAAGAAATTTGCACTCCTCAAATTCTCGTGCATCCCACATTTCAATCACTCCACCATATGTGGTCATCAGAGCAGGGAAAGAAACCCTGAGGATGTGTCTCCTGTTTCCAAGCCCCACTGCCTCCTTTCCCAAACCCCAGGCAGCTTCTATTGAGGGCTTTTACAACGTGTTTTAGATCCAATAAAATACTGCAGCACAGAAAGATAGCACTCAGTAAGGCTGCGCAGATTATTTTGAAGAGAAATCCAGTCAGTTGTACCACTGCATCCATGCGACCCATTCTTTTTTTAACCTCCAAATATTTCTCCCACTTCCTTTTGAGTGCCTCAACATCAGGGAGGGAGTATGTTCCAAATTCTATCCACTGTTTGTGTCAAAATTTCTTCTCATTATCTCCTCTGGTTCTTTTGCCCATCAAATGAAGTTGAATTTGGGTCCTCTGATAAGGGATCATTTTAGCTGTTGGAAACAGTTTCTACTTATTCTATTTAAGATCTTTGTGATTATATATACCTCTGCCAAACACCACCACCCCCACCCCTCCGGCTTCTTGGCTCTTAAGTGATCAACTTTAGCTTCTCTGTAACCCATCATTCCTGGAGCTATTGCAGTAAATCTCTTCTGACCCATCTATAATCCATATGCTGCCTCAAATCGGAAATCATGGTCAAAATCATTGAAATCTGCTTTATGTAGGTTCAGCAAAACTTCTTCACTTTTGTGCTCAGTGGCTCAATTAATGAATTCCATTGAAAGCTCAGCTTCAGTCCGTCTAGCACCACGTGCGTGCCCCGTCTCCTTAGCCATAGTAGCTGGGCTTTCTGCCACCGGGGCCCTAAGTTCTTGAATTCCTTTCTGAAACCTGTCTGTCCCACTCTATATCTTCTTAAAGATACTGCTTAAAAATCCATTTCTCTGAATGGTCGTCTGTCTTGGTATCTTCAACAGGGTCCGAGTTTCACAATTTTTGTCATGGGTGGGGCTGTTCCTAAGTATGCCCTGCTCATGAGCAACGCAAACTGTGAAAATCCCAGGTTCAGCCCCAGATCTCCGCTCCAAAACTAGGGAGTCAAAATTGCTGAATGTTGGAGACCTCATACAAAGATCACACTGTATATTCCAGCCGAGTTGCCTTTTCTGATTCTTGACCTTGTCCTCAAGTCCTTAAACTAGTAGCTACTAAGTTTATAGGGCATAATAGCCTGTACTTTTTTCTCTTTTTTTTTAAAATGGGGCATTCAAATCATGGTGTGCGAGTCTCTAATGGTCTGCCTTTGCTTTCCGTTGCAGGAATGTTTTGACAGTAAACCCAGATTAATAAGCAAGAAGGCTAAGGACAGCACATCACTCTGCTCTAATCCAGATGCTAAGCACAACTTTGAAGATAATAAGTGAGTACACAAGCAACATGGAAGGAGCTCCTGAATGTTCTAGTGGGATCAGGTAGCCCGTTTTTAAGCTGTAGTGGCTGGCTGGTTCCAGGTCCAAATCCTCGTTTGTACTGAGTCCTATAATGACAGTCAAGGCAGTAAACCTTGCATGGAAACATAGAAAATAGATGCAGGACTAGGCCATTTGGCCCTTCAAACCCGCTGTGTCATTCAATAAGATCACAGCTGATCATCAACTCAGTCCCCTGTTCCTGCTTTCTCCCCATACCCTTTGATCCCTTTAGCCCTAAGAATTATATCTGTCTCCTTCTTGAAAATATTCAGTTTTGGACTCAACCGCTTTCTGTGGCAGAGAATTCCATAGGCTTTCTCTTCACCTCAGTCCAAAATGGCTTATGCTCTGTGTTTAAAATTGTGATCCCTGGTTCTGAACACCCAGTCATTAGGAACGTCCTGCCTGAACTGTGTCTAATCCTGTTAGAATTTTGTAAGTTCCTATGGGATCCGCAGTCATTCTTCAAAACTCCAGTGAATTATAATCCTAAACGAGCAATCTCTCTTCATACATCAGTCCTGCCATGTCAGGAATCAGTCTATTAAACCTTTGTTGCACTCCCCCCATAGCCACAGCATCTTTCCTCAGATAAGGAGACTAAAACTGTACACGCATGTTGCGACTGTAAAGGACATTGTTTAGGCCACTTTTGGAATACTGCATTCAATTCTGGTCTCCCTACTATAGGAAAGATGTTAAACCTGAAAGGGTTCAGAAAAGATCTACAAGAATGTCCCCAGGGTTGAAGGGCTTGAGCTATGGGGAGAGGCTGAATAGGCTGGGGCTATTTTCCCTGGAGCATCAGAGGCTGAGGGATGACCTTTATAGAGGTTTATAAAATCATGAGGGGCATGGAGAGGGTGAATAGCCACGGTGGGGCAGTCCAAAACTAGAGGGCATCTGTTTAAGGTGAGAGGGGCAAGATTTAAAAGGGACCTAAAGGGCAACTTTTTCATAGATGCTCGTGCGTGTATGGAATGAGTTTCCAGAGGAGATGGTGGAGGCTGGTACAGTTACAACATTTAAAAGGCATCTGGATGGATACATGAATAGAAAGGGTTTAGAGGAATATGGGCCAAATGCTGGCAAATGGGACTAGATTAATTTAGGATATCTGGTCGGCATGGATAAGTTGGACCGCAGGGTCTGTTCCATGTTGTACAACTCTGTGACTCTATGTGGTCTCACCAAGGCCCTGCAGCTACAGAAAATAGGAATGCTACATGTTTCTGTAACCCCGAGTCAGGAAGTGAAAAATAAAAGGGCTTTGCTGCTGCTTAGCTCACCGGCACATCAGGAGGAGACAGCATTGAACTCTGATACCATCTGTGGTTGGACAGTTTGCTACTTTTCACCGACCAAGTTAACACACAGGCTCATTAAGTGGTGCAGCACGGAAGGAGGCCATTTGGTCCATCGTGCTTGTGCTGTTTGAAGGAGATTTCCCAATTAGTTCCAATCCCCTTCTCTTTCCCCATAGCCCAGCAAATCTTTTCCCTTCAAAGATTTGTCCAAGTCTCACTTGAATGTCACTACTAAATGTGCTCTACACATTATCAGGTAATGTGTACCAGATCACAACCACTCATGTTTTAAAAAAAGTTTCAACGTGTCACCTCTGATCTTTTGCAAATCAACTTTGAAAGGTCAGTCACCAGAGGATACAAAACTATGAGTGGAAATGTCTCCCTTTTAGCTCTATTAAAACCCTTCAGGATTTTGAACATTAAAACTTCCTTTAACCTTCACTGCTCAAAGGAAAATAATCCCAATTTCTTCAGTCTTTCCATAATTAAAGAACTGAAGTCACTCATACCTGTTACCTTCCTAGTAAATCCCATCCACAACCTTTCTAAGACCTAGACAAAAGTTAGCATCCAAAATTGAATACAATATTCAGGAACCAACCCAGGGTGAGTTAAAGGTTTAGCACAACTTGGCTTTTGTACACTGTTCCACCTGGCAGACATTTTTCCTTCTGGCTGAAAATATTGGTAGGTTTTTGTTCAGGCCAAAGTTATGGAACTAAGACAGGTAGATAGGAGATAAGATACAGAGCAGACATGATCTAATTGAGTGTCAGAACAGTCTTAAGAAGTTGAACAGCCTATTCCTGTTCCTATGTTGCTAAAAGGAGATGAAATCGTTTATAAATATGACCAATTTTTAAAAATTATGTTAGGCAAGAGTATCGAGCATTGCCAATATTGTGGGTAGATGAAGTTAAACTGCCCATCAGACGTAATCGAATTAAATGGTGGAACAGGCTCGAGAGGCAGAATGGGATTAAATTAGTTCTGAATCAGGAACAAAAGCAGAAGTTGCTGGAAAAGCTCAGCAGGTCTAACAGCATCTGTGAAGAAAAAGTCAGAGCTAACGTTTCGGATCCAGTGACCCTACCTCAGAACTGGGGAATTTTTAACATTCAAAATCCTGAAGAGTTTTAGTAGACCTAAAAGGAAGACAGCATTTCCACTTACAGAATGGTCAGTCACCAGAGAATACAAAACTAAGTTTTGCAAAACAGCAGAGGTGACACATTGAAACTTTTTTTAAAATAATGTTCTGAGGAAGGGCCACCAGACCCAAAACATTAACTCTGATTTTCTTCTTCACAGATGCTGCCAGACCTGCTGAGCTTTTCCAGCAACTTCTGTTTTTGTTTCTGATTTACAGCATTCGCAGTTTTTTTTTTCAGTTTTCATTTAGTTCTGAATTAGGTCTGTTGCTGAAACTTCTCTGTGCCTTGTGTGGTTTCAGGTGCTTGGTCCACATGCTGTGCGACACAACGGTGAAGTATTCCAAGATCCGGCAGTACCAGGACCACTGCCAGTTTGATGTGTGCCGACACGAGGTACGTTATGGGTGTCTACGGGAGGACAGCTGTAACTTCGCTCACAGTCTCATCGAGCTGAAGGTCTGGGTGATGCAACAGAGTTCAGGTACTTGAAAGGAAAACCTGAAGTGTGTTTTCTTTCGAACTATCTATGTGGAAAGTTTGCAAGCGTTCAATGCAGAGCGTAAAACTGTCATTCAGAAAAAGTGGTTCATTTTGTGCCATTTTATTAATCTTCCACGATTTAGCACAGAAAATTTACAAGCACTCGTTCACCAAGCTACACTTTTCCTTTGCCAATAGTAATTGAACCCTGATTATCCTCCGTTTATTTACATCATTTATACACTGAGACTTTAAAGACACAGGCCTCCTAAACATTGCTCAATTTTTGCAGCAGGATATTACATCGTACTATAAATGAATTAGAATTAGATTTTCTGGTCACACGTACTCAAGTATAGAAGTACGTAAGTAGTGTGGAGAGTGTATAATGTCGTCATTCCCAGTGCCATCTTCGGTACAAAGGTACCTAGGTACAGAATCTTGGGTACAAAGTAGAAAAATAAATAAAGTTAAAAGTTTAACAGTCTTTCTTAAGTGCTTCTCCATGCTGTGGTCGCACTCCCTACAAGGGCTCAATCTCCTCTGCTTTGACCCACTCTCTGGGGGACCTCGGGCTGCCTGCTCTCATCACTGCCGCACGTGTAAATAAGGGCCTACGGTCTTCATGCAAACAAATTTCCCATGCAAACCCTACATCTCTGGTGGTTTGCAAGATCTAACCTGAACCTCTGGTCAGTTTTGTTCCTGCAATTCTGGGATCATCCATTAGGATCCATATGGATTATGTAGATTTTACCAGCTCTTCTCTTCCCAGGTGGCATAAGCAAATGAGCAAACTGTTCTTAACCCATTTGGCTTAAAGACCAATGGCCAACTGCTCTGGGATCCAAAGCAGTAGCCAGGCACAAATGTAAGACAACAGATATTGAATGCACTGGCGTGTATTGCAAGCCAGCAGTGCACCAACTTCCCCTTCATTTAAAATACTTTCTTCATTTTTGCAAGGGGTGTAGGCATCACTGATAAGGCCAGCATTTGTTGCCCATTCTTAATGGCCCTTAAATCAAATGACTTGCTTAACCACTTCAGGCACAATTAAGAGTCAACCACATTGAATAGAATAGAATAGAAATTTGTTATCATATGAAAAATACAGTGAAAAATTTTAAAAGTCGCCCTAGCACGGCACCTACATCAATGATAAAGTCATATATAATAATAAAAAAAGTAAAATTTAAGACAAAGTTCATCACAGTTCATTGTTGTGGTTCTTGAGTCACATGGAGACCAGACTGGGTAAGGATGGCAAATTTCCTTTCCTAAAGGACATCAGTGATCCGGATGGGTTTTTACAACAATTGACAACAGTTGCTATGGTCACCATCACTGAGGCTAACTTTACAATTTATGGTGAATTAATTCAATCTTAATTCTGCCTGCTGCCTTGGTGGAATTTGAAGCCAAAGCATTTTTCTGGGCCTCTAGATTACGAGTTGAGAGACATTACCTCTACACCATCATCTCCCCCTAAGGATAGGATTGAAGTTTTGCTGTGATGTCTTCCATGTTAAAGCAGCTTACCAATGTTCATACAAAAGCAAAATGTTGATGACAACAGTGAATCTGAAGGAAAAACTGAACATGCTGGAAATGTTCAGGCAGCCTCTATAGAGAGTGAAACAGAGGTAAACATTTCAGGACTGGGATCTTTGATCAGAGGTTCTGTATAGTTCCAGCATTTTCAGTTTTTATACTAGTGCTTTTGGACAGGACTTCCGTATTAAGACTAGCCACTCAAGCAAGGTGCCAGAAGACCTTCAGCATTCACCTTCCAGCTAATGAAGCTTCAGTATTCCATGCAATGCTATAGTGAAATAAAAAGAAAACACTGAGAATACTTAGCAGATCAATCAACACCTGTAGAGTGAAACAGAGTTAACACATCAGATGGGTGACTATTTGCTATTTTTGTTTCCGATCCACAGTATTTTGCTGTTGTCACTATAGTAATTCTGTTCTCCTGTATTACCTTACAGAGATCACGCACGAAGAGATTGTACAGGAGTCTACGCAACACTGCCTGAATGTGGAAGCTAGTGTGAGTCGAGCACAGGTATATTGCAGCCAATGTCTAGGGTCAGAGGCAGGGACCATTTCCTGGCCTGTTTGTTCGTGACAACAACTACCTGCATTTAATATGGTACAACTTACAGAAGCATTGTTAAACAAACTGTGACATCGAACACTTAAGGAGATAGTTGGACTTGTTAGTCATAGAAGTAGGTTTAAGGAGCATCTTAAAGGAGGACAGAGAGAGAGGTTTCTGGTTGGAATTCCAGACCTTGGAGACAAAGCAACTCAGTTGTCGGTAATCCACAAATGAAAACTGGGCATGCACACGAGGCTTGAGGTGAAGACCTACACATCATTCATAAGATTCCAAAATAAGGTACTAGTGAAATCTCAGAATTCAGCAATCGTTGCTTGAAAGTATAGTACTTGCTTGTTGGAATTTGCTAATACTGTGCTTACTAGAAGCTACATATACACAGGGAACAGTCCTCTGCAGGATAAAGTATTCTGTCTGTTCATTGTGCCTTTTTTGAATTCAACAATTGTGTAATGGGCAACAGCTCCCTCCTGCAATTTCTTTGGAAACTCTTCAACCAATCAGTCAGCTTTCCAACGAGTCAGCGCGCCTTTTGTCTTGTGCAATATAAATTATTGCTCCCTTTGAAATTTGGCATTCATGCATTGATCCTGACAATTGCAAGAAAAAAAGGTTCAACAGCATGATTCCTTTTTTCATCAGCTTAGCAACAAGTCAGGGTATTTCATCCATTTGCAGCTTGCTGATCCTAGATCTCAGTACTAGGGATAACGAATTCCTAACTCCTGTCTCCTTGCATTTTGACAATCCTCCATTCAAGGGAATCAAGCCGTATCATCAACACCACATTCAAATGTTTGCAACATTTCTCCAGCTGCTGTTCAAACTGTATGAAATAGATAATGAACATATATAAAGTACCTTAACATTAATTCATACTCAATGACCTTGTGAAATTTGGATTGGGATTTATATAACCAACTAATCTTGCTGCTATTTTCTGACTTGGGTACACTTTGTATTGACATTGTCGGGCATTTTGTTTGCTGTTTCAAGGAAATGAGCACCATCTGCTCCTTTTCTTCATTGCTCCTTATTCTTCAGACAAATGCCTCCCTTTCCCACACATGACCTGTACTCAACACGGCCATTGCTTCTTCCAGGTCTCCATCAGTGCTGCACTGTTGTAATGTCGGTAAAGTGTGAACCCATGAATTCTATTTATAGAATTACTTACTGAGTTTGCAGCACAGAAATGGGCCACTCAGCACATCTGGTCTATGCTGCTGCAGTGCACTCTGTCAGTGTAACCTGCCCTTCTTTTCATCCTTGCTTGTTTATCTGGTTTCTCCTTCAGTGTGTCCAGGCTGTTCATCATAACCATTCCATGTGGCCATGGCTTCTGCGTTCTGACCACTTTCTGGGGAATGTTTCTCCTGAATTTCTTGTTTGATTTGTTATAACTATTTATGACCTTGATTTTCTGGCCTTTCCTGCAAATGGATATTGTCTCATTGTCACCTCTATCTTTTAGACCTTCTCCAGGTCATCCTTCAGACTTACTGTTCTGTACATGAAGTCTCTTTAGTTTGTTTGATCTTTCCAAATAGGTTTAAAATCTCCATTCTGGTATCCACCACATAAACCTTACTTACACCTTCTCCGGAGCCATGAAATTCTTTTTATAATGTGGAGACCAGACCAGATTATAACACACAAAAATTAAAAGAACTGCGAATGGTGTAAATCAGAAACAAAACAGAAGTTGCTGGAAAAGCTCAGCAGGTACGGCAGTATCTGTGAAGAAAAAATCAGAGTTAATGTTCCGGGTTCAGTGTCCCTTCAGAGTTAACGTTTCGGACCCAGCGACCCTTCTTCAGAACAGTATTATTCAGCCACTACTTTGGTGTTTTCACTGAGGAATAGCCATGAGTCGTGCATTACTTGCTACTCCTCGAGAGTTCTGAGGGAGGGTCACCGGATCTGAAAAGGTTAATTCTGATTTTTTTTCTTCACAGATGCTGCCAGACCTGCTGAGCTTTTCCAGATTATAGTATGTTAAGTCGGGCTAACCAAGGTTCAATACTAGTTTAATGTTACTTCTCTGATTTTCAATTCTATCCTCTACAGATTAATATTGGTGCTCTATTTATCTTTATTACTGTCTTATTAATCTTTGTTCACTCCTTCTGGTTTGTCTGTTCATATTTCCAGATAATGTCTACCATGTCACTTACACCCAAGGTGGAATTTTACATTCCTCCTGACAAGTAGGGCAGGGTGTATGGTGATATAAAATTGGGTACCATGGTGGTGACACTGTGCCCATCGCCCACCTGCCCTTTGATAGTATTTTATCAGCAGTAGAAGAGACTCAAGCAGCCAACCTCCCTGTGAATCGATTGAGCCATTAATTGGCCACTTAAAGGCTTCCTCTAACCTACACTGGTCTTGTACCAATGGCAAAGGGAGTCAAGGGCAAGGCTGGCTCATTGTGACCTGATTGTACAGGTACTGTAGCTGTCCTCACTGGTGTAATGCCCACGTTCCGTGTAAGGATGAAAGTCATGAGTTGACTGTGCTACCTCTTCAAAAGTAGGTGAAAATCCAAATATATCACCTCCACTGCTCCCCTTTCAGTAAGGCATACAAGAAATTCATTAAGGCTATTCAAGCCTGACTTTTGCTTTTGTAATCCATGTTGAAAATTCTTCATTATATTTTCTGTGTCTTGATAATTTTCTATTACCTGTCTGAGTAAAGATGTATGTACACATCTCCCTCGTATCATACATATTAATATCCCTTAACGCATAGCTCGTACACACCTACAGATTGCTGACTGTCTCTCATGCACATAAGTAAGTCTCTAAAGTGTACCCTTATGTGCTTTCTTAATTCCTGTTTTGTACAGTAGACCACAAGAGCCAGATTATAGACAGGCTGGTTATTTTAGTCGCCATGTCACATACCCTGTTGCCCGTCTTTTAAAGGCTAAACACCACCTCTTCCCAGGGCCCTTTTCTTTATGTTCCTTCACAGGAAGGGTGTGTTGCCGGCAACATCAGTGTTTGTTTTCCATTCCTAAATGCCCTTGAGAAGGTATGCTACCTGTTTGAATTGCCATTGTACATGGGCAAGTAGGTATTGTCTCAAGGCTGTTCGAGAGGGAGTTCAAGGATTATGACCCAACAACATTGAAGGAACAGATATATAGTTCCAAGTCAGGATCGCGTGTAGCTTTAAGGGGAACTTGCTGGTAGTGGTGCTCCCATCCATCTAATGCCCTTGCCCTTTTAGATGGTAGAAGTTTGGAAGGTGCTGTACAAGGAGCTTTGAACATATTATGCACACTGCTGCCTCTGTGCATCAGTAGTGGACGGAGTGGATGTTTATGGATGTGATACCACTCAAGTCAAGTGGGCGGCTTTGTCCTAAAACATGTGTAGCCTCTGCAGTGTTGTCAGAGCTGCACTCATCCAGGTAAGTGAGGAGTATTCTGTTCACTCTCTTGACTTGGGTTTTATAGATGGTGGACAGGCTTTGGGGAGTCAGGATGTGCTGCAGGATGCCCAGCCTCTGGCCTCCTCTTGTTCCCATAATATTTATTTGGCTAGTCCAGTTCGGTTTTTGGTCAATGATAACCTCTGAGGCGCTGATAGTAGAGGTTTCAGTGATGGTAATACCTTTGAATGTCAAGGGGCGACAGTTTGATTCTTGTTCATTGGAGATTATCATTGCTTGACACTTATCACTTACCACCCAGGTCTAAATGTTGTCTAGGTCTTGCTGAATATTCCACTTTATGGCCCAGAAGTGGGGAATGTATTGGCTTTTTAGTTTCTGTGGACTTGTAAATGATATCAGCAAATATCCCCACTTCTGACCTAATGATGGAGAAGGCCAGGTCAAGATGAAACAGGTGGAGATGGTTTGATCAAGGGCTATAATGGAGTTGAGAGCTAAGCAGGCTTGGAGGAACCTAAACTGAATCTCAATGAGTGAGTTTTACTGTGTAAGTACTGACTGGTAGCACTGTCCTTTACTCCTTCCATCACTTTGTCGATAATTGTGAGCAGGCTGATGGGGTGGTAATTGGCCAGGTTTGGTTTCTCCTTCCTTTTATGGACAGGACATACCCAGGCATTTTCCGCATTGCCCCAGCTGTGTCAGGCTCCCGGAGGGGAAGACTAGAACTGTTTTCCCCTTTACGGCCCAGAAGTGGGGAATGTATTGGCTTTTTAGTTTTGCTGTCTTTGTTTTGTTTGGTAGATCTCGCCTAATAGATCTTTGTTCTGTTTGATTGAGGTGCCATCTGGAGCTGGCAAGGTACCCTCGCTGGGAATGAAGATGAAATTTGTTTGCAGCCAGTGTTGGAGGAATGGGCAGGTCGTTGAACCAGACAAGAACCTCAAGTACTGCAGTGCCAAAATACGACATGGGTCAGTCCATTTTCTTTCACTTCAAAATTTTTAAAATAATGGGCAATAGGAAGATTGTGAGGAGTGAACATAGAACATAGAACTGTACAGCACAGTACACACCCTTCATCTCACGATGTTGTGCTGAACTTTTACCCTAAACCCAAGGTCTATCTAACTTCCACCCCCACCTTATACCATCACCCATATGCCTATCTAATAGCCACTTAAATGCCCCTAATGAGGCCGACTCCACTTCCCTCTCCGGCAATGCATTTCACGCCCCACTCTCTGAGTAAAGAACCTAACTCTGATGCCTCCCCTATATCTACGTCCACTCGCTTTAAAACTATGCCCACTCGTAATAGCTACCTCCACCCTAGGAAAAAGTCTCTGGCTGTCCACTCCAGCTATACCTCTGATCATTTTGTACATCTCTATCAAGTCACCTCTCATCCTTCGTCGTTCTAAAGAGAAAAGCCTTAACTCTCTCAGCCTTTCCTCATAAGACCTTTCCTCCATTCCAGGCAACATCCTGGTAAATCTCTTTGCACCTTTTCCAACGCTTTCACATCTTTCCTGAAATGAGGCGACCAGAACTGGACACAATACTCCAGATTTGGCCGAACCAGGGTTTTGTATAGCTGGAGCATAACTTTAGGCTGTTGAACTCAATCCTTCTATTAATGAAAGCTAACACACCATACACCTTCTTAACAACTGTATCCACCTGGGTGGCAGCTTTCAGGGAACTGTGGACATGAACTCTGAGATCCCTCTGCTCCTCCACACTGCCAAGAATCTTTTCGTTAATCCTGTATTCTGCTTTCAAATTTGTCCTTCCAAAATGAATCACCTCACACTTTTCAGAGTTAAAATCTATCTGCCACTTCTCAGCCCCGCTGTGTATCCTATCAATGTCCCTTTATAACCTAGGACAGCCCTCCGCGCTATCCACAACTCGACCCACTTTCGTATCGACTGCGAACTTACTAATCCACCCTTCCACTCCTACATCCAAATCATTTACAAAAATCACAAATAGAACAGGACCCAGAACAGATCCTTGTGGTACACCACTCGTAACTGAGCACCATGTTGAATATTTTCAGTCCACTACCACCCTTTGTCTTCTAAAGGTCAGCCAATTCTGAATCCAATCTGCCACATTTCCCCCTATCCCATGCCTCCTTACTTTCTGCATGAGCCTACCGTGGGGAACCTTATCAAACGCCTTAGTTAAATCCATGTATACGACATCCACTGCTCTACCTTGGTCCACGTGTTTGGTCACCTCTTCAAAGAATTCAGTGGGGTGAGTGGGAAGCAGCGTAGTTCCTCACGCAGAGTGCGGAGTGTGCAGCATATAGCTGCCTGGGAGCACTTGATTATAATTTCAGTCGAGGGGTGCGATTTGGCAGAGCCCATGTTGAAGGTGCAGCCAGGGAGAGGTGGCACTTTCTGCAATTGGGGTTTGTGGCATTGTCTGTTTAGAATGTGGTAATAAATTTCCTCCTTCCTTTCTCCTCTCTTTCTCTTTCAACTTTACTCAGGCTCCCTGAGCCCCTCACTACCTTTTGTATTGCATGTTTGTACGCCTTTCTCTTCCTCTCTGCACTTCCCAATTCCTCTTTTTGTTCCTTTCAACCCTTGGTCAGCCACAGTCCATTATGCTGGGATTACATTCGGTATGGACTGGTTGGACTGAAGGGTCTGTTTCTGTGCTGTATGACTCTATGACTCTGACTATGACTCTCTCTTCCTGTCATCTGCTCCCTGTCTGTCTCACTCACCAGCTTCCCATCTCTATCTCTCACTCGCCCATTCCCATCCCACCTTGATCCCCTCTTCCACCCCCACCCCGAGCGGGTTCCAGTGGATTGGAAAATTGTTAATTTGATGCTGCTGTTCAAGGCGGAGGGAGGCAGAAAGAGGGAAACTGTGGATCAGTTAGTCTAACATCTGTCATTGGGAAAATGCTAGATTCCATTGTTAAGGAAGAAATAGCAGGACATTTAGAAAAGCTTATGTAATCATTCAACGTGATTTTGTGAAAGGACAATCACGTTTGACAAGTTTACAAGAATTCCTTGAGGATGTGACAAGCAGAGTTGATAAGGGGGAAATGGTAGATGTTGTATGTTTGGATTTCTAGAAGGCATTGATAAGGTTCCACATGAAAGGTGGGCTCAACCAGCATCAAAAATGAACTCATTTCTGAAGAAGGGTCTAGGCCCGAAACGTCAGCTTTCCTGCTCCTCTGATGCTGCTTGGCCTGCTGTGTTCATCCAGCTCTACACCTTGTGAACTCAATATTGAGTCCAGAAAGCTGTAGAGTGCCCAAAGGGAAAATGAGGTGCTGTCCTTCCAACTTGCGCTGAGCTTCACTGGAGCACTGCAGCAAGCCTGAGACAGAGATGTTGGCCAGGGAACAAGGTGGTGTGTTGAAGATATTGAATATTGGTGGCCAGTTTTTCCCCAGAAATGGAAACAGGTCAAAGGTGTGGCTATGGGTTCCCAGTTATGGGTAACCTCAGATATGCCTGTCTCTTTGTGGGCTACGTAGAACATTCCTTGTTCCAGTCCTATTCAAGGCCCTACCCACAACTCTTTCTCCGGTATATCAATGATATAATCAGTGCAGCTTCTCTCTCCCATCTGGATTTGGAAACGTTTATCAATTTTGCTTCCAATTTCCACCCCGTTGTCATCTTCACCTGGCCCATCTTTGACTCCTCTCTTCCCTTCCTCGACATCTCTGTTTCCATTTCTGGGGATGGGCTAGCCACCAATATCCACTACAAACCCATCGACTTCCACAATTACCTTAACTATATATCCTCACATTCTGCTTCCTGTAAAGACTCTATTCCATTTTCTCAGTTCCTCTGTCTCATCTGTTCTGATGATGCTAACTTCAACAAGGGGGTCTCCAAAAAGTCCACCTTCTTCCTTGACCGAGGATTTTCCAGCATCGTAGTTGACAGGGCCCTCAGCAGGTCCATCTCCCACACTTCAGCCTCACCCCTCTGTCTTCCCTCCCACAACAGCAATAGGCTCCCCCTTGTCTTTGTCTACCATCCCACCAGCTTCCACAAGTAGAGGATCATTAGTCATCGTTTCTACCACTTCCAGCGGGATGCCACCACCAGACACCTATTCCCCTCCCCACCCTTGTCAGCCTTCCACAAGCACCGTGCTCCCTGGGACACCCTGGTCCGCTCCTCCTTCACTCCCAACATCTCCCCCCACACCCTCAAGGCACTTTTCCCTGCAACCGCATGTCAAATATGCATTTCTTATGTGTCCTACTTCAAAGAACTGTGAACTCTTCAGGAACACAAAATACTGGAGTTAAGGTGGCAGTTAGCATCATTGTGAACTTATTAATTGTTTGCTTAACAGCAGCAACTTCCAAAATTTGATTTTTCTATATTTCCACTTCTTAACTAGTAACATTTCAGCTTTACATAATGCAGAGAATGTATAGCATGCAGATAGGCTATTTCACCCAACTGAACTATGCCAGTGTTTATGCTCTTCCTCTGACCCAATTTCATCTTCCACTGTCCTTCATCTAACTCCATCGACATATCCTTGCATTCGTTTCACTTGTGGCACGTTATCTACCTTACACTTTAAAATGCATCCATTCTATCTGCCTGAGCTACTACATTTGAGAGTGATTCCCACCTTTTGGATAAAGGAGTATCTCTCCCATTCCTTATTGGATTTATTAATGGCCTCTAGTTTTGGTCTTCCATATGTGGCATTATTTTATTTTTTTGCATGTCTAATTTAGCAAACTGCTTCATTTTAAAAGGCTCTATTAAGTCAGCCTTCAATCTTTGTTTTGAGAGGAAGAGTAATGTGTTACACCATATAAATCTTTCCTTTTAAGCTACACCCTTTCACTGATTGTGAGGATTACTAAAGGACATTTGCTGGATATGATAAATTATTTCTCCCCCTTCTGTCTGTCACACACATGCACATTTAAGACAATCATTTGGAACTTAAGGAGAAGCTGTCTTCAGCTGAAAATACCCATTTTAACGTTGAAGTTGGAATACTTGGCATGTCTGCATGCATCTTAGCAATTGCTGTTTTTTAAATAAAAAAGAGCCCAAGCCAAACAATTCATCCTGATCACTCAGTGACAGCCTGAAGAACTATTAAACTCTTAGTGTCATCCAATAATTTATTTAAGCATAATTGGACCTTGTTGAGAAGTGGAATAAGATCATAAGCCTCAGATTCTGAGTTATTCACAACAACGCTTCTGAGAACAGCAACTCCTATTCAGCTTGGGAACCCTGCAGCCCAATAGTATCAATGTGGACTTCACAAGCTTCAAAATCTCCCCTCCCCTGACCGCATCCCAAAACCAGCCCAGCTCGTCCCCGCCTCCCTAACTTGTCCTTCCTCCCACCTATCCCCTCCTCCCACCTCAAGCCCCACCCCATCTCCTACCTACTAACCTCATCCCGCCCCCTTGACCTGTCCATCCTCCCTGGACTGACCTACCTCCTCCCTAACTCCCCACCTACACTCACCTTTACTAGCTCCATCCCCGCCTCTTTGACCTGTCTGTCTCCTCTCCACCTATCTTCTCCTGTATCCATCTTCTATCCGCCTTCCCCTCCCTCCCTCCCTCCCTATTTTTTTCCGTACCCCCCTCCCTCCCTATTTATTTCAGAACCCCCTTCCCCTCCCCCACTTCTGAAGAAGGGTCTAGGCCCGAAACGTCAGCCTTCCTGCTCCTCTGATGCTGCTTGGCCTGCTGTGTTCATCCAGCTCCACACCTTGTATCTCTGATATAAAGCACTGACTGGTTGTAAAGATCCTGGTGAACGATGTGCGCTGGCAGCCAATTAGAAGCTGATGGTTCTTCATTACTTGATAGCACAGTTGGGAAGTGCTCATTGTTATCGATAACAACATGCCAGGATTGCTGAGGGACCGAGATCTCAACTGTGTGATGGCAGGAGGGGATGTCAGGATGGGGTGCGGGATGTAGTAGAGCAGGCTGGCAGCAGAGCAGGGGCCTGACCTTCACTGGGCTTCAGGCTTTCCCATAGTGGACTTAATCGGAGCAGTAACGGGAAGGCACCGGAGTCCCCAGCCTCCTGCCACCATCCTGCCTGATTAACTGCCCTCTCTCAACGGCGTTTTGAGGATGTAACGAAAACGATTGATGGGGCAGAGTGGTAGTCCATGTGGTGTAGGTGCACCCATAGTGCTTTTAGGAAGGGAGAGAAAGCAACAGAGGCTGGATCATTGAAAACATTCAGAGCTGTGTTAGATGGATTTTTGTGCAACAGCAGAGTCAAGGATAATGGGGCAAGCAGGCAGGAAAGTGGAATTAAGGTCATAGTTCGATCTGATTTTACCTACTGGCGCTCCTAATGGTAGACTAATTAGTAAAGTTAGATCACATGGAATTCGGGGTGAGCTTGCCAATTGGATCCAAAATTGGCTTGATGGTAGGGCACAGAGGGTGGTGGTGGTGGGTTGTTTTTCGACTGGAGGCCTATGACCAGCGGTGTTCCGCGGGAATCGATACTGGGTCCTCTTTTGTTTGTCATTTATATAAGTAATTTGGATTACAGTTTAGGAGGCATGATTAGTAAGTTTGCGGATGACACCAAAATTTGTGGTGTGGTCAGTAGTGAAGAAGATTACCTAAGATTACAAAGGGATCTTAATCGATTGGGCCAATGGGTTGAGGAGTGGCTGATGGAATTTACTTTGGGTAAATGTGAGGTATTGCATTTGGTAAAATGAACAAGGTGGGGACTTATACAGTTAATGGTAGGGCCATGGATAGTGTTGTAGAACAGTGAGACCTAGGGGTTCAGGTGCATCATTCTTTGAAAATTGCATCACAGGTAGACAGGGTGGTTAGGAAGGCGTTTGGCACGCTTGCCTTCATTTCTCAGATCATTGAGTATAGGAGTTGGGACATCATGTTGAGGTGAGGCCACTTTTGGAATACTGTGTACAGTCTGGTCACCTTGCTGTAGGAAGGATATTATTAAATTGGAGAGGGTGCAGAGGAAATTTACAGGAATGTTGCTGGGACTAGAGGTTTTGAGTTATAAGGAGAGGCTGGATAGGCTGAGACTTTTTTCACTGCAGCATAGGAGGTTGAGAGCTAAACATAGAGGTTTATAAAGTTATAAGGGGCATAGATAAGGTAATTAGCAAAGGTCCTTTCCCCAGGGTGGGTGAGTTCAAAAATATGGGGTATATTTTTAAAGTGAGAGGAGAAAAATTTCGAAGGGACCTGAGGGGTACCTTTTTCACACAGGGGTTTGTTTGTATGTGGAATGAACTGCCAGAGGAAGTAGTAGCTGCAGGTACAATTACAACATTTAAAAGACAATTGGACAGGCACATTAATAGGAAATGTTTCGAGGGATATGGGCCAAATGCAGGCAAGTTGGACTAGTTATGGAACTGGTAACTTGGTAGGCATGGATGAGTTGTACTGAAGGGTCTGTTTCTCTGCTGTAGGACTCTATAAATCAGCATCCCTCAGCCAATACGTCACAGATCCTTATTCTTCACTCTGTAAAACCTTTTTTCCTCATGTCAGCTCTGGTTCCTTTGCAAAGTCCTGAAATCTATTCCCTCTGCTTATCAACCCTTCAGCCATTAGGAATTTTCTCTTTACTTACTCTCTGTAAAACACTTCATTTTTTTAGAATTGTCAAGAGATGTGGCAAGGCCAGCACTTGTCCCTCATCCCTAATTGCCCTTGAACTGATTGGGTTGCTTGGCAAATTTCATAGGGTAGCAAAGGATGACCACATTGCTGTGGTTCTGGGGTCACGCGTAGGCCAGACCAGGTAAGGATGGCAGATTTCCCTCCCTAAAGTGCATTCGTGAACCAGATGGGTTTTTACGATGATAACGTGCCCACTATTACAGAGACTAGTTGTCAATTCCTAATGTTATTGATTGAATTTAAGTTCCACCAGCTGCCATGGAGAGTTTTGAACCTCTATTCCAAGAGCTTCTTAATACCATTGGCCAAGCAGTATTGACCAATCTCCGATTTAAAATTAACAACTCATCGAGCATTAATTGCTATTTCTGGAGAAGACTTCAACCAGCCCTGAAGAATTGTTTTCTAATTTCATGCCTGGCTCTAATATTTTGACCAACTCCCTGGTCTTGGACTCCCCAGTGGAAGTAGTATCCCCTTTTCTATACTACAGATTCTCTTGATATCTTGAACATTTTAATAAAATCACCCTCAACCATCTAAATTCCAAGGAATAGAATCACATGACTGTAATCCCAAAGCCTGATGAGTTTAGAAGAATGAGAAGAGATGTCATTGAAATCGAAGATCCCAAGGGGAATTGCATTGTTGGCCACTAATAGTCCCATTAGCAGCTATTCATTTTCCATGTTTGACAAGACCCTCGGGACCAGACAGGATGAATGCTGAGAGGATGTTGTCCCTTGTGAGACGCAGACTGGAATTAGGAGACACAGTTTAAAAATCAGAGATCTCCCATTTCAGACAGAGATAAGGGGAAATGTTTCCTCTCAGGGGGCTCTCAGTCTTTGGAATTTTTCTTTTTGATTCTTTCATGGAATATGAACATTGCTCACCATCATTTATTGTCATCAAGTCATACAGTATGGAAACAGACCCTTCAGTCCAAACAGTCCATGCCGAACAAAATCCCAAACTAAACTCCATCCCCACCCCCCATCCACACCCTTGCACCCCCCCCACCGCCGTACCAGTTGCCCTGTAGGAGGTGGTGAGCTGTCTTATTGAACCGCTGCAGTCCATGGTTTTTTGTTCACAGCAGAGTTGAGGATAATGGGGAAAGCAGCCAGGAAAATGGAGTTACAATCATAGTTCAATCCTCCATGATCTTATCTACTGGTGCTCCTAATTCTTGAGTTCTGTTTTCCCTGGAACTATTCTGTTACGCTTCTTCTGTACGCCATCTGAAGTCTTCAGGTTCTTTCTGAAGTGTAGTGCCCTGAATGGTGTTCGTTCCTGTTCTCCAGATGGACTAAGGAGCGGCGAGTAATGCTGGTGATGTCGAGTGAGCGGAAGAAGTGGGTTGCTATCCGCCCATTGCCTTCCTGCAGGAACATCCCACAGCAGTATGACGTGAGTAAAGAAACAAATATGTCACTCGGTATCCTTTATACTTTATGGTGATCTCAGCAGGCTCTGGGTGTACTTTTGTCAGCGCAGCCACTTCGTAATGTTGAAAATTAATTTCTCTTTAATCCTTCCCTGGGTGAAGGTGTCGCTGGCTAGTCCAGCATTTACTGTCTGTCCCTAATTACCCAGAGGGGAGATAAAAATCACCCGTATTGCTGTGGGTCTGGAGTCACATATAGGCCAGACTGGGTAAGGAAGGCAGATTCCCCTCCCTATGTACATTAATGAACCCGATGTTTCTTTATGACAATTGACAATGGTTTCACGGTCATCATCAAATTCTAGATTTTTATTGAGTTCGAATTTCACCCTCCAACGTGGTGGGACTCAAGCCCATGTTCCCAGAACATTAGTCTGAAATTCTGGATTACTTTTCCAGTGATCTTACCACCATGCCATTGCCTCCCAATGCATCAGGCACAGCAAACTCCCACAAACGACAATATACTATTGACAAGCTAATCTATTTGTGTTGGTTAAAGTATATATATCAGGCTAGACATCAGGATACACTCCCCAGTTCTCTTCTTTGAAATAGTACCATGGGATCATTTACGTTCTGAGGGCACAGCCAGGGGCTTGAGTTGAATGCCTCGTCTGAAAGACAGCAGCTCTGACAGTGCAGCATTCCTTCAGGAGTGCACTGAAATGTTAGCCTGTGATTATGTGGCCTGTTCTCTGGAGTGAAACTTAGTACATGATCTCTGAGGTGAGAGATCTATCTACTGAGCCGAAGCTGATAGGAAGTGTGATCCTGGAATGTGGGTGTTCATAATGTTGTAATGGCAAATTTTGCTGCTTTGGTGAGATTTCTAGCAGGTTGCTGAAGACCGAAGCATCTGAGGCATTCAGAACACAACTTGGTCTTCGAATGGTCATAAGGTAGCATGTTGAGTGGCTTGTTCTTTCAGTCACTTTGTAGAGGCAGCATTGCGGATGATGCTGTGTCTAGCACGGACATGGTAGAAGAAGGGAATTGTGTCTGGGACATGGCTCTCCCAGTATTCTGCCTGTGAAGGGAAAGCAGATAGCCCAGTCGTCAAGCCAAACCACTGATTCCACTGGGTTTTCTGGGTATGTGCCATGAGGTTGTTTGGGGTGACCCATTATACAGATCACTGCTTTTCCTTCTGTTCAGTTCCCATTAACTTGTAGTCATTTCATGCCATGCTCATGGCAATGTCAGAGACCAGAGAGTTTTGAGTCCAATACAGTTGTTGTTTGGTTAAATTCTTTTACATCAATCAGTGTGGTTTAATTTCCAGTTGTGTACACATGTTGCCAAGGGGAAAAAATGCCAGTATGTTGGAAACTGCTCGTTTGCCCACAGTCTTGAGGAGCTTGATGTCTGGACATACATGAAGGAAACTAAAAGTAAGTGGATTTGTTTTTACTTTGTTATGACTGCTGCATGTCCCACCAAACCCAACTTTCCCCCTTTCTGTCTTAACCTTTGCAGTTTCTGTCCATAAGCAGTAGTAGCTCTTTGATACATGACTAAAGCATCGGAACACTTTCTCACCAGTGATCATCTTTTTAAAAAGTGCACACACTGTTGTAATGTAGGAAACGTGACAGCCAATTTACAGATGGCAAGCTCCTACAACCAACAATGCAGTGAATGACTTGGTAATTCGTTTTGGTTGTGTTGGCTGAGGGGCAACGTCATCAGAACGCATTCTCTTCCTTTGAAACCCTAAGAGGTTGTCAGCTTAAAATCTCATCCGAAAGACAGCACCTCCAACAGTGCAGCCCTCCCTTGGTACTGCAATCAAGTGTGAGCCGAGAATGGGACTTTAACTTGCCACCCTTTGACTCAGAGCTAAGAAGTGCTCCCACAGAGCCACTACAATCCCCCAAAAATTGTTCTGTCAGTAGGCACCTCTGTAAAAATCATTTCCCATTCCCATTTCTTCAGTGCAGCGCATAGAAGCTGAAATTCAGTGCACTGAACATTTGACCTGTCTTCCCATTTCAGTGTATGACATGCAGCAGGTATATGAGATGTGGCTGAAGAACCAGAAGCCAATGATGGCCGGGGAGCCCACTGAGCTCAGCACTAAGCAGAGTGAGAAGCAGATCCATATGCCCACCGACTACGCCGACGTGGGGGTATGTACAGGAACTAAGGTTCTGAGAAAATAAGCTGGACCTTAATCTCCAGAGATTCAGATATTGATAGGACTTTGTGTCGCACAAGACTGAGGTGCATCATATTCCGTAACCAGTTGTACAAAGGAATTCATCTTGCCCTCATACATGAATCATAAAAAGTTAGCATTTGATTTGATTTATTATTGTCACATGTACCTGGTTACAGTAAAGTTTTTTTGTTTTGTGCGCCGTACAGGCAGATCATACCATACAAAGTGTATTAGGGTAATCGAACAGAGTGAGGAATACAATGTTACAGCCGCAGAGAAGGTGCATAAAGAGTGAGATCAACATTAAATTTAAATGCTGCACAGGCACAGCAAATAATTTGGAAGGCAAACTAAATTTTGGGTTTTAATATAAGGGGAGGGGAGGGGAGGGGGTATAAAGTTGGGAATTCTCCCCTTTTATTAGTATTCTTGCAAACTGTCCAGATGAATGCAAGATTAAAAGCTTCAAACAAATGCATCTTTGTTTCAACAATACTTTTGAAGGGTAGTCAGTGTTGCAATTTAGGATAGTCAGTTTGTAGTGCAAACTCAGTATGAGCTTTTGTGATGTTGATTGTGAGCTAACTCTTGGCTAGAACTCACCTGGCTTTCATTGAAATGAGTGCGGTTGAATCTCCGTTTAATGTCAGATCCAAAATACCACAAAGTACCACTCCCTCAGTACTGTTACTGGTATGTCAGCCTGAGTTCTGCACTCAACAGTTTGCATTACTTTAGTACCTTTAACATTATGCTTCTTGTATTCCTCATCCAAAACTTGGTGCAGAAAGGTTTAGAATTGGCCAGCTGATGAGCTGTGTGCGGCACCAGACCATTTCTTCGCTCACTCTAAAATGCATTGTTCATCTCAAGGGTTTGAGTTCATAATAGCCTTTCCTTGCAGTGTAATAAAACCCACCTCAGAGCAAACTTCAAACAAGTCAATTGCATCTGCTTCATTTCTTCCCTTCTCAATTTTCTTGCCAGGCCACTCCAAGGTACTGACTGTTCCTCAGTAACCATTCTGCAGGATAACACTGGACAGTTTGTAGGTTACCTGAAGAAACAGCACAGCACAGCTAAGCTCAGTCTGAACTCATCCAGTATCAAGCCACACACTAACATCTCACCAAATATTGACCAGAAGCAGGAGACTAGTTGATTTCCTTCCATTAACTTTCTCTAGTCCTAGGATCTCTCTGTTGTTATTTTAACTGAGAGCAGCTCCTCTAGCATGGCCTGGGAACTGAGGTTTCTGGATGTATGGTTCAAGTGTCCTGTCTGCCTGCGAAATATGACAAAAGGGGGAGCGCTGTTTGGTCAGTTAGTTCTATCATTTTCCTCCTTCTGCCTATCAACTGCTTCCGTTTTAGCTGGGGCATTCAGTAATGGCACCTTTGATATGTGCACACTTTAGCAAATCAAATACCCTATTATACCTTACAAACAAAAGGAAGAGTGGGCAACAGACACCCAACAGTAAGATGGAATGGGAGTAAGGGCATAATGAGAGAGGTGATCTTTCTGGCTGTTTTAGAAGGTGATTAAAGAAAGGAGACACTTAGGATGAGAATATCAGTGCTGGAGCTGTGCTGACTCAAGACTCTTGTCACTGAGTGTTGTTTGGGGGCCACATGATTATGCTGCAAGGCTAAATTGAGAAGAAAAGTGGGCAGACTGTGATACATAACTGAAAAAGGTTGTAGAGATGGGGTTTGCGGGGGGAAACTGTATCACGGACATACAGAAAACTACAAATTGGGAGCAGGAGTAGTCTATTTGATAAGGTCATGGCTGATCTGATTGTGGTCTCCACTTTATTCTGTCTACCCTTATACCTTTTTGACCTTCTCATGGTCAAGGATCTAGCTCCTCCAGCCTTAAAAATATTAATAGACCCTGACTCAACACTGTCTGAGAAAGAGAATTCCACAGACCAATGAGCTGGTGAGAGGGGAAAAAAAAATCCTCGTCTTTGTCTTAATTGGGTGACTCTTTGTTTTTCAACTACATCCCCCTAGTTCTCATTTCTCCCATTAGGGGAAGCATCTGCTATTATCCACCCTATCAGAGTCTTGTATTTTTCAAGAAGATTACCTCTTATTCATCTGAAGTCCTATGGACTCCGGCCCAGCCTGTCCACCCTTTCCTCAAAGGACAGCCCAATTATCCCAGGAGTCAGTGGAGTTAACCTTCTCTGAAATGCTTCCAATGTCTTTCTGCACTTTTCTTAAATAAGGAGACCAAACGAGCACATTGTTCCCCAAAAGTGGCCTCACCAAAGCCCTATCTGTAGCAAAATGAAGGTCATACTTGAGATTAAAGATTCCTGGTTCAAGAGTTTCCGTTGGTTTTCTTACATCCTTCTCTCTAACCTGCCGTGTCATCGCATTTCAGCAAATTGGCTACCACTGCTGGCTTTGTGGGAAAAACAGCAACAGTGAGAAGCAGTGGGCGAAACACATCACGTCGGAAAAACACAAAGACAAGGTGTTCAATTCCGAGGATGATCAGAACTGCTGGCAACATCGTTTCCCTATGGGAGAGTTTAAACTGTGTGAGAGGTGAGGCTTGGGGCAAGGGGAAGGAAACTGTCCATTGGACAGCAACAGCCTAGGTCACAGCCATCATTTCCAAAAAGGTAATATTTTACTGAGAATGTAGCAAATTCATAAAGGACTAGCCTGCAAAAAGAGATCAAATTGGTACAGGAATTAATTTCTTGTTTGGAAATAGGATTATTGGTGGCTGTGTGCAACGATACTGCAATTATTTTTAGTTATTCCTGGGATATGGATGTCACTGACCGCTCCAGTAGTTATTTTCCATCTCTAATTGCTCTTGAGAAGGTTAGGAGCATATCATCAGCAAAAGAATCTGAAATGTTATGTAGAATCATAGAATCAAAAAGTCTGTACTGTCAAAAATATACTACTACCTACGTTATTACATTTCTCCATATTGGGTCCATGGCCTTGAATGTTACGATGCTTCAAACACTCGCCCAAGTATTATTTAAAGGTTGTGAGTTTCCTGCCTCAACTACCCTCCGAGGCAGTGGATTCCAGACCCCCATCACTTTCACTTTAAAATTATGTCCCCTTGATATTGACTCTTCAACTAAGCAGAACATTTAGATGCTTTCTGCCCACCCTGTCCATGCCCCTCTGATAATCCTATACACCTCTACCAGGCCCCCCTCAGCCACCACCACCATCCCACACACACACACACACACACACACACACTACCCCCCACCCCCCGACTCTCCTCCATCCCCAGTCTAAAGAAAACAACCAAATCTTATCCAGCCTTTCTTCATAAATGAATTGTTCCATCCCAGGCAACATCCTGGTGAATCTCCATTGCACTCTCTCCAGTACAGTCACATCCCTCCTATACTGTGGTGACCAGAACTGCACACTGTACTCCAGCTGTGCCCTAACTGAAGTTCCATACAGCTCCAATGTGCCCTCTCTGCTCTCAGAATCAAAGCCCTGACTGATAAAGGCAGCATCCCAAAAGCCGCCTTAAACACCCTATTATCCTGTCCTTTCACCTTCAGGGATCTGTGGACGAGCACCCCAAGATCCTTCTGTTCCTTTTAGCTTCCTAGTGTTCTGCTGTTCATCGAGTACTTCCTTCTTCCAAAGCGCATCACCTTGCATTTTTCAGGGTTAAGTTCCATCTGCCATTGATCTGCCCATCTGACCTCCTTTTAAGCTAATACCTCCCTCCTCACTATCTACCACCCAAGCCAATCTTTGTGTCTTCTGCAAACCTTCTTATCATCCCTCCCACATTATTATCTATGTCATTTATGCATGTCATAAATAGTAAGGAACCCAGCATTAACTCCTGTGGTACGCCACTGTACACACACAAAGCCTTCTACCGCAACCGCCTGTCTCCTGCCACTAAGCTAATTTTAGATCCATCTCGTCAAGTAACCCTGGATCCCGTGTGCTTTTACCATCATTATGAGTCTCTCATGCGGGACCTTGTCAGAGGGCCTTGCTGAAGTTCATATAAACTAAATCAAATGCCCAACTCTCATCCAATCACTTGATCACCTCCTTGAAAAGTTCCACCAGATTTGTTTCACCCTTTGACAAAGCCATGCTGACTGTTCCTGATCAAATCTTGCTAGTCTGAATGGAGATTAATTTTCTCTTCGCTATTTTCTCCAAGTTTCCATACCACTGATACTAGACTCACTGTAGTTTCCTGATCTGTTTCTACCACCCTTCTTGTAAAGTGGAACCACATTAGCTGTCCTCCAGTTCTCTGGCACCTTCTCTGTGGCCAGGCACGAGTTAAAAATTTGGGTCAGGGCCCCTGTAATGTTCTCCCTCGTGTCCCAGAACACCCTGGGATACAATCATCTGGACCTGCGATTTTACCACTTTTAAATCTACCAAAACCTCCAATACCGCCTTGTTTCTTATATCAATCTGCTCAAGAATTTCACAATCCATCTTTTCAATGGTAGTGCATTTTGGCAAGAAAAATGTGGTTATGTATTCGTTAGAAAATAATCTAAAAGATGTGGTACAAAGTGATCTGGGACACACAAGTCACTTCAAGTTGTGGCACAAGTTATGGAGGCATAAAGTCATCTAGCACGGAAACAGACCCTCTGATCCAGCTCATCCATGCCAACCATGTTCCCAAACTAAACTAGTCCCACCTGCCTGCGCTTGGCCCATATCCCTCCAAACCTTTCCTATTCATGTACTTATCCAAATGTTGAGTTACAATATTTAAAAGACAAGAGTTGTGAGGGAGTGGGGGAGTGCGGGGCCAGAGCTAAAGGATTGGAGGAGTGCGGGGACAGGGCTGAAGCATGGGACTAGACCTAGAGCTGTGAGAAGGAGTCATCTTTAGCAATCAGTTTGTTGGGCCATGCCACTATTTTTTTTAAAAGGGTGAAGATTTAAAGGAGCCTCACAACTGTTAACATTGAGGCTAATTTCCATGACAGCTGTTGCTGGGAAGCCTGAGATTTGATCAAACTGAATGGGAGTGGTTCCAATGGACCATAAATTCTGGCATGGACCTGTTGGGCTGAATGGCCTGCTTTCTGTGTTATGTTTCTGTGTAATTCCATGACCTATTTGAACAGGTACAAGCGACTGAATTCTCATTGTGTTTGTGTTTGTAACTCTCTCTCTGTTCCCCAGACAAAGGAAGAAATCCTGTCCTGATGGTGATAAATGCCAATTTGCCCACAGCCAGTCAGAGCTGGAAGAGTGGATCGAACGCAGGGATTTAATGAAAATGAAATTTGCCAAAGCCAGGAAGGACATGCTGATCGCACCAGACGACAATGATTTTGGCAAATACAGTTTTTTGATGAAGGACTTAAATTAATGGATAAAACTGGTTCAGTTTAATTGTTGCTGCAACACTTTTAAATTTTAAAGAGAAGAAAATTGCTTTTGGTAAAATGATGAGTACAGTCCTGAACCGTGACCTCATTACACCGAGGTAATCCCTGTTGTCTTGCGCGCTGCGTTTTTCTCTCGTGTTTAAATGCAGCTGTAACAAAGGCAGGAGCAGCTTTAAATCGAGACAGAAAAGAAAGTGCTCACAACTGTTTACAGATGTGTAGGATGTTCCTGGGGTTAGGCAGGGTGGGAGGCGAGGGTTTGGGGATCTGTGTACAGTGACAGATTGGTTTGTGAACCCACATTACACTTAGAACCACAGGGACAGCTTCATGAATCTATATGAGGCAGAGCTGAGCCATAGTGACTAGAATCTCAAGAGGATAAATGCACTGAGTCAGATAGTGTGACTGTATAGGGGAAGGAACTCAAACGGCATGAGGGACAGAGGGACCAGGATTTCTCCTGATGGATAACCCCTGATATTTAGTTCCTAGTCTGTGGCACACCATTATGACCATCAAGCAGTGAGAAACAAGTACACTGACCATAGACGGTGGGAGGGCTTTTCCCTGCGTTAGGGCAGTGCTGTGGAGGGAGAGGGAGGGCAGAAAGTTTGCAATAACCTAAGTTGAAGAATCACAATGAGAAAATTAACTCCTAACTCTATCGACATGAGAAACGGCAGAATAGCTTACATTATCAATCTTGTATGTTTATCTCCCTGTAGCAGAGCTATTTGGAAAACAACTTGTAGCCCACCAGAGCTGTTGATGTGCAGTTGAGCAGTCGGTCCAGTGATAATGCTGAATAAAAACAAAGTTGCTGGAAGAGCTTTTTGCTCCTGATTTACAGCATCCGCAGTTCTTTCGGTTTTTATTCAGTGATAGTGCTGAACTGAGTCAGCATCTGCCCATTGCGTCTGTTGCACTGCTTTCACAGAATAGATAGGGCAGTTTGTACAAGGTTTCAATTAATGCACTGCCCTGTCACCCCTCTCCCATTTCCATCCCTGTAGTTGCTGATTCCTGCCGATATCCTTCTACATCCACACACGGGTTGTTAATTCTTAATGTGTGAACCCAGGCTGTGAGGTTAGGAGAATGTAAAGCTGGTTACTGTATTCACCATATACTTGCACATGCGTCGTGGAAAAGCACGGAGAATCCACTGAGTAACAACCGGGTGAAGAAACCCTGCTCAATTTGTTTTAATCTCCCTCCGCTCAACCCCCACCTAGTCAAGTGACATTGAGGCTTGAAGCAAAGTATTGTCAGCACAAGATCCACCCTAACCCAGGCCATGCCTTCCCCTGGTCCTATCTCAGTTGTGTGTTGGTTATATCGACTGGGTCATGAAGCAAGTTTTGGTTTATTAAACAGAAAGATCATGATATAAATCACCTTTTTAATCATTGAAGCTAGAGGAACTAAAGTTGACTTTTTGAAAGGATGAATTAAATGAACCAAAATATCCTTATCATCCAAATGTACCTGTTGGTGTAAATTAAAAGGAAATGGGAGGAGAGGGAATATTCTCAATCAGGAATATTTCTCTTTTCCAACACTCCCACCCACCAAAGGCACTTTTCTGTTTTAAGTTTGCTTGGCTCCTTCTAATTAACTTTTACAACTGGGAAATGCAAATCAATTCGTACCGAAGAATATATCATAAAAGATCATTTATTTCTTTCAACTGGTGTTAAGAGTTCAGGATACAGCTGTCTGTGTCTCCCTCTGTCTATCTCTCGTTTCTCTCTCATTAACTTCAATTTGTGTTCTTTGCTAAAAACCGGCCAACTCTCCCTGCCTCTCCAAACAGTCCATTCTGTATATTCACTGCTTCTATGTAAGGCTCTACACAAATCTCATTCTGTCTCTCCTTATCTCAATCTATTAGCATATCCTTCTGTTCCTTCCTCCAATTCGTATATTCATAACATCTATTCTATTTGCCTTCAAAATATGCCATGTGAAAGTGAGTTCCACGTTTTGACCACCCTCTGGACAAAAAGGTTTCTCCAAAGTTCATTTTCAATTCAATAATTTATTTTTATATCTACGACATCGAGGATAAGACTTTACAAAAGTGGAAATATTCTTTTCTACGTCTGCCCTGTTGCATTCTTTGTCATTTTCCTATTCCTATCTAGAGCTGTTCCATACATCTTTCATTATGCACATTATTTTAAGTTGTGTCACCTTGCAACCATATATCTTTTGAGAGAAAAGAGCTATCTGTGAAACTACAGATGCAAATTGATACATTATTGTACACCCATTGCCTGTAATCACTGTTGCACAGTTCTTCCAAGTCAGTGTTCCCACTCCTCTCGCTGTTTCATTTGCACTACTCCCATCCTATTGATTCAAAGTGAAATGTTAGGACTTAACTATAATGCATATTTTTAACAACTTGGTGCATTAAGTCTCGCTCATTCACACTCTGACCCAAGGCTGTCTTAATCTAGACCAAACTAATACATGGTGCAGTGTGAAATGATGTTGTTGGATATTTATAACGTCATGTTCTAGTGAAAACTGCACGAGAATGTGTAACATTACGGAAGTATCTAATATTTCATGGAGTAGTGTGGACAATGCAGTGTGAGGAATGAGTAACTCCTTCAGTGCTAAACCCTACCCTGAACTAGAATGCCTCATTGGTAGACAAACAGGAGGCTGGAAGAGTACAGCAAGCCAGGCAGCGTCTAGAGGAAAGGAGCAGTCAACATTTCAGGTATTACCCTTCTTCAGGACTGGGAGAAGGGTGATACCCGAAATGTTGACTGCTCCTTTCCTCCAGATGCTGCCTGGCCTAACTGTGTTTGTCTACCTTAGATTTCAGCATCTGCAGTTTTTTTGTCTCTAACTAGAATGGCTCAGTGTCAGGCAACATGTGGATTTGTGCAGGGCACTGCAGGGAGGTAGAACAGGAGGAGACAATCAAAGGCAGTGTCAAAGAGGGAGATATTAATAAGGTAGGGAGAGAGAGTTAGTGAGGTGAAGTAACCTTTAGTGGAAAGCAAATTGAAAACTTTGGATCGGCTTACAATCTTGAGTCTTGCACAAACTTGTGTGGGAATGGGAGATCATTCAGCCCCTCAAAACTGTTCTGCTGTTATTTAGAATAGCTTATCTGTTTCTTACTTCTATCTACTCAGCTTGATTCTGTGAGCCTTAACACCCTTCGATAACATGTCCAGTTGATGTTTGCAGCTGATTATTTTGAACCAGCTGGTGCTTTGTTCTTGCCAGGGGCAACTGGTAACAGGACCAACAAATCCTGTTCCCTGAGCTGCAGTGAGAGCTTTGATTGCAGTCAGCGTTATAATTTGTGGGAGTTGTCTATGTACATGGTGCTTAAGGAATGAGCTTTGTCATCATGCTGAGCAGCTCAGCGATCAGCATTTTCACCACGTCTGGGATTTCTCACAAAGAAATCATGCTAACCCTTATTGAGCCGCTCAGTACAGGAATCTGTAAGCTCTCACCCTGATTAATTTGCCATCATGAAACTATTTAATATCCTATATTTACAATAGAACCAAATCTATCCTAATGACAACGCATTTTATATAGTTAGGGTCTTTATTTTTTTTCGAGCTACTGATTTTAGGAACAGACAAAGATTGGTAAGCTGCTTTGAATGTTTATTGTATGTGCTGCAAGCACTTTGGTCTCATGGAACAGTACAACTGACTTCTCTTTTGGTACAAAACCAACTTTTCCACAATGTAGACCTAGTGTCGCATTGTCTCGTTTATTCACCTGGATGTCAGGTCAAGTCTAGACTGTGTTGGACTGGATATATTCACAGATTCTATTGGCAAGACATGAAGTTTGGGGATGAATAGATGCTGTAGACCCCAGGTAATGAGGCAATGGATTATAGGCTGATCCATTCCCCTCCTTCCATCCTGGTGAAGTGTAGAAGCCAGCAGAAAGTCATTTTGATAGGATTGCTGAGTCCAAGCCTTTTACATTAAGTAATGTTGGTGTTAGCAGGACAGACGATCATACCCTCAGTCCTGAAGTCTTGTTTTGTTAGAGGGTTAGTGATATTCGTTGGAAAAGACAGTGGGGTCTTTGCTCCACCTAAGGTTCTCAGCATTCCAGGATAGCCCTGGATTCTCCAGGAGTTATGGGACAATCTCCAAGACACTGCTACCATCAAACCCGGGAGGACATTCGTAGGCATGTTTTAGAAATTAATCATGGCTCTATTTGTCACCTTCAATCTTCTTTATATTCTGCTCCATGTCATTCACTAGCTTTCTTTGTTGAAGAAGCTGCAGTCCTGCTTACATGAGTACACTGGCTTTTGGCAGGGAGCTGTGGTGAAACATTTAACACGTTTCTTCTATATCTCCTGGAGGATTGAGTTATTTCTCAATAATTAATCAGTTTGACATGATTAAGCAAACGAGGAACTCAGTTATATTCCATCTGGTCTTGTAACTAATCAGGATCGTTAAACTTTTAGATTGGCTCTTTAATCGTGATCGACTTAGAACTTGCAATTCAAGTGAAACCCCAAAATCTTACATCTTTGATAGTGATGCTCCATAATTAAACCTGCTACTAATAACCGTCTGTTCAGAAAGTTATATTAGGCTGATGTTAAAGCGATTGGCGTGTGTAGTTGATTTGGCATAGATTGGATAGGTTCACCCATCAAGTAGTGAGACTGTGTGTGTCAGACAGAGAGGTTGGCGGCACATGTTGATATCTCCAGGAACACGGACAGGGCATTGTTGGTAACCGTGGTCCTTGCTCAAGGCAGAAGCAAGGCTCCTACTTCTAGTACAAATGTTCAGCTTACAGTATATAAAAAAGATTCTCCTGGCAGGTGACAGAATCCTATCTACAAAGAGAGGTTTTGGAAAATAGGTGCATCATTGTGGCAAAGTCTCCGATTACTGCCCTTCACTTGAGACATTGTCCATAGGAGAATGGAACAATTCCCTTTTTATGTATTTTAATTAAGACATTTAAATACATTGCTCGCTAACATTTAATAAGTTAGTTAATGATAAGCCTGGTTCAGTTAAGTCACTTTTTGCTGCAACCATTTCTTACATTAAAATCTTTCTAAAAAAGTTGAGAATTTTGGATATTATGTCATTAGTAATAATAGCTTAATATGTGCTTTCTTTCAAATAATGTTATGAATATTATATTGTTGATGCAGTTAGATGGATGATAAGAATTGTACTTAAATTATAACATGATATATCATGAAGAAAAGCTGGATAATGCTAATCATTTTCCATTAATCTTAAAGCATTGGTTTGTGTTTGGCTAGTAATGAGAATGCAAGGCTTGAGGGAAATGAATGGGCGGCTTGAAGGCATTTCGGAATCAGAAGAAAATCCAATTAAAATTAAGGAGCTGCCTTGGGATGTTACATTTGGCCTCTCACCTGGGATTCCAAGCCACTTCGGGTGAACTCCTGCTGGAAGATGGAGGCAAGGTTAAGATTTGGCTTGGGGATGCCCGCTGTAGTCGGATAGTCTGTTGGATCAGATGTGAGAAAACCCCCACATGTAAGGTAGCCAGCAGATCACCTGAATCCCATAGGAATCCGTGACTGATAAAGAGAAATATACAGGTCCCAGCCAGGAATGGACATATGATTGATACAGCCCACGACTGCACAGCAGCCCTTACTGTATTATTTCATTGCACTGGTCTCCATTTGGGAGACAGACTGTGCAGGAGAGAAGCTGGTGTAGGATGGCAGGCTGCACTCTTCACTCACACATCATGTGTGCTTCGCTAGGTGACGAAAAGGAGAAAGAGAGGAGAGTGTCAAATTTCAATATACTATTGCATTATGAATGTTAAGAAAAGCTTTTAACTTAGCGTACACATGTGACAGTTTGTTTAGACAAGGGGGATTTGATGAGTAGTATTATTAAGAATGTTTTGATAAAGTGAGCTTGTCCAAACAAAGCTCAAGAGGAGTTTTGATTGCTGTAGGGCATGGATCTAAGGTCATTATTAAAAGATTGAGAATATTTTTGAAGATGTTTATTGAGATAGGAAAATCCCCTTGCAGAATTTAAATTTGCTCTTAAAATAGAAATGGATAAATATTTTTGTTTCGAAGGGTATGGGGGAAGAGGAAAGCAGAATGTGACAAAATTGTTTGTTCCTCTAGAGAGTCAGCAGTGGACCACCAGGCCCCACATTGATCCAGTGTCCCTTCTCCATGCTGGAAGTGTAATGGGGCCAGGCAGCAACTCTCCCCATACACCCCCGATTCCGATTCTGTCACAAATCCCAGAGTCACCTGGCTTAGCGCTGCTTAAATGTCATCCTGAGTCCCCTGCCAATGATTGGCTAGGAATGTGAAGGTCCACAGGGAGCTTTGAAAGCAGGGTGCTCCTCGAGGGGCCAGGGAACCAGGGAAGTAGGAGGAACTAAAGAAATGAAAAGAGCATGGGAGTTGAAGCATCAATCATCGTAATCCTGCTGCGATCTACCATCCAGAAATAAACAGGATCACAGGATTGTAAAAACAGACTGGGAGGCTCAGCAGAGTAACCGTTCCCATGCTCCAAACTATTCAAACACTGAGGCCAAATGTAGCACCCCAACTCCAGGCATGAGGTTCATTCACTCACTCTGCTTCGCAGTTGCAATTTGGTGAATAACCTGGTGGCAGCAGGTTTTGTTTCCCTAAAGTTCTTATTTCTAAACTGTTGGATTCCAAGGGCCCCAATTCAAGTTGCATTTGAGAGAGTGTTACTGTCCAGTAGCATCTGAACAGTGAGGCTGTGAACATGGCTATGCTAAATACCAGTCAGACCGTATAAATTAGGACAAGAGCTGAGGCAGCGGAGAAGTGGGGGACACGGGCAAGGAAACAAAATGAGATGAGGACCCCCTTTCTCCCCTTGATTGATGTTTGGATTCTCATTTCAGTCATTCTACATAATTAAGATCATGTTTACATTTTTTTTATATTATATATATATATGAATATATACGTACATATAAAATACAAACAAGTACCTTTGTAATGTGTTGGGGCCCTCAGTGATTGTACAAGATGTTGATGTTCTTTGTTTAAAATGTCTTCTACGAAGAGAGCATGTGAACCCAGGTGGCCCCTGGTCAAATGAGGAGAGTAAATATAATGACTTGTGGCAGGCCTGTGTGGATGCAGAGACTGCTGTAGGTGAATGGCTTAATGTAAAACTATTGCAGATCAGTATTTCAAATAATTTGAACAGAATTATGGAAACAAGAGTGAGCCGTGAACTGTAATCTTGCTCCATTGCAGTGGGTCAAGATAGTGTTATTCATGCGACTGTGCTTGCAGAGAAACTTGCTTTAGTGGTCACTTGGAGCCTCATCTGATTCAGCCAATATAAGTTTTTTGCCAAATGCAGTTATCATCCAGTACAGAGGGAGGCCATTCAGCCAATTAACTCTGTGCCAGCTCTTCAAAAGCCCCATTCTTCTGCTCTTTAACCCTAAGTTGTGTGGTTCTCCCCAGTCTCTTCCAAATATTTATCCAATTCCCTATTGAAAATTAGTGAATCTGCTTTGAGATTTTAATAACCCATTCTGTTTTTGTTTTAAATCCCATCCTCTTTGCCTATTTTGCTAATAACTCTGCAGTCTCTGACTTGTATTGTCTGTCTGACCAGAACCTTGTGTGCTCTGGGAGCTGGAGATGAAAAGTACTTTGGGAAATTAGGAAAAGGAAAAGCCAACTGATGGTTTCTACAAGGTCCTCAGCAAGTTGATATCCTTCCATCTGCCAGAGATGACAGGGAACTCGGCTCTTAGAACTTTGCTGCGTTCAGAGTCCATTGACATCCACTGTCCTACTGATCATTGATCATAGACTCCCTACAGTGTGGAAACAGGCCCTTTGGCCCAACATGTCCTCACTGACCCTCATCCCACCCAGACCCATCCCCCTATAGCCCACCTAATCTACACATCCCTGAACACTACGGGCAATTTAGCATGGCCAGTCCACCTAACCCGTACATCTTTGGACTGTGGGAAGAGACCGGAGCACCCGGAGGAAACGTGTTGGTCTGAAAAGGCTGCGTCTGTCACACAATACCCTTGGTCGCTGTGCAGGCCGGTCTCTGCTGATGCCGCCTTTGCCAGGCTGGCATCTGCTCTGGAGCTTCTGAACTCGTGTGTTATCATTGGTGGCAAATTCCTCCCCACATCTGATGCAAACAGTGGCACCAATCTTTCAGCGAGAGAGCATGTCTGATCAGTTGTCACAGGTTCCCTCCGGCCTGTGTCTAATTAAAGAACCACACCATGGATGGGAGTGTCAATGTGGAGACAGTGTCATCCCGTCCATTTCTCCCACCCCCACCTTCCTAATTCCACCCTCTCTCTCTTCCCTGCCTGTCTGGCTGAACAGTCCTGTAATGAATTCATCCTATTGCAAAGATCAGTTTTTAAGTTCAATCACACAGGTGTCCATTTGATGCAGGTTTGACTGCAAGTGCTTTGATTCAACCTAGGACTATATGTATTAACGGGAGAGTTTTACAAACAAATGTATCTTGTTGAGCCATGGGATCTAATTCCCAGTCTTGCTGGTTTGATTCTGTAGGCACGTTCCCATTAAGAAGCTTCTCTTTCAGTTTAATAAAGGTGTTGTTTTCTGTGCATGTGACTCCAGTCCTACCTGATTGATTTGGGCGTTATCATTAACATCACTCCTACTTTAAGGTGGCAGATATCTGGTGACTGCCTCAGCAACTGGGATGAAGCCACGTTAACGGGTCCAGGCGGCGGGCTGTGGAGGGGTCATCGCTGCCGACAGTCTGCCCTTCTCCGTGCATATGTTCCTGCCTGGTGTCCTTTGAGAGGGGAGCACGCAGTGTCCATCAAGGCTCTCGATGCGTTTACAGAGAGGTGGGCTCCATAGGGGATACAGCCTTTTATCTCCCCCTCCAACTCCATTTTGATTTAGTCCCTTCCCCCAACTCTCCATCACCTTTGATGATCTGCATTGCCCAGAATGGGCTTTACACAGAAATTCATTGATTGGGAAATACAGGTAATGTATTGGTGGTGATTAATTGATGAAAAAAAATGGGTGATTTGATCATGGGGAAACAAAATGTTCAATTGTGTGGATATTAAAAAAAATTGGAATGTGTCATTTCATTTCCATTTTTAGAAGAGGGAAATGCCCTAAGGGTCTTCATAGAGTCTTAGGGGAGGGAAATGGAAAGCCAGACAAGAGAGAGATGATGATGGATGACCAAAGGCATCATCAAAAGAATGGAATACAGAGATATAGCAGGAGAGTTCCAGATTCATGAGTGGTTGTCGTAACAGGGTGAAGGGGATGTAGAAATACTTCCTTATTTTCATATTAAACAGGTGACCTCTTATTTTTAAGCAGTTCCTTGTCTTGATTTCCCTCACACTATCTACCCTGTCAAGCTTTCTCAGAATCTTCCATATTTACAGAAGATCACCTCTCATTCTCCAGTAGTCCATTTGGCCCATTAAACCTTTGTGGCTGATCTTCAATTTCAAATCCACTATCCTGCCCTCTCCCCTTCACCCAGGAATCGATGCAATGACCCTTCTCTGAACTGCGTCCAATTTAAGCAAAGCCTCCTTAAATAAAGAGACCACAACTGTATGTAGTGTTTGCGATGTGGCCTCGCTATATGCGGCTCTCAGCCTGGTCTCCCAGAGGCTTGCGATGGGTCCCCAACCTGGTCTGTCGTCGGCTCGTGGCGGCTCTCAGCCTGGTCTCAGCAGTATGTCAGTGTCTCGGCTCAGTGTGTGAATGGATCCTGCCTGGGAATGTTCCAAGGCACCAGTCTCAACAGCAACCCGCACTCCGGTACTCATCAGAGAGTTGAACAAAAGATAAAGTTGCCACAGTCTTACTGGATCGTAGGGCTGCTCTCTCATTTGAAAGAGATGGTAGGTGGTGGTTTAACTGGAGGGTCACCACACCTCAGGCGAGGGGAGAAGTTGGGAAGGTAGCCTGCAGGAATTGAACCCACACTTGGCATCACTGCATCGCAAACCAGCCAACTGAGCTAGCCCCCAGCAGGGACTGCAAACCACCAAACAAAAGGTGGAGCGTTCAGTACCTGCAGTAGCGGCATTGAGAACAGACAGCTGAGCTCTCCGAGAGCGAGATAAATGGAGGCCTCATCAAAGACTGTTCAACTTTTCGCTTATTCCTTTAGTTTCCTAGTTTAAACTACCAAAGACTTCAATGTAAACTATAACCTAGTTCTTTATTTTTCTACTATTCTATGAAATGATGCTTAACTTTTTGACTCTCGTTTCTCTTACTACTTTATACCTAAACTTTTTTTTGTACTTTGGTACCGAAGATGGCGCCATGTGTGGCAAAATTTATACACTTTTCACTACTCCTGTACTTGAGTACACGTGCCAATAAAACCTAAAATCATTAACACCCTACGCAGCGGCAGTGAGTCTCCCCCATTGTTTGCTTCATCCTCTTTGCTTTTTGATCATTTTCTGCTGTCTGAATTCCAAGTGGAAAATGGATTAATGTTAGCTGCTATCTTAACAGCAAGGTATGGATCGGTTAAAAATATACTGAGGTAAGGAATGTGAGTGAAGAGATATTGGAGACACCAGCCATCAGTGTAGAAAGAAAATTTCAAGGCAATATATAGCTGTGTGCAGTACCTCACTTGTTCCACCAGATGGTGCCTTGACGCACTTGGGGCAGTTTTCATGTTGATGCCTCTCTCCTTGACTCTTGCTGGGGATTTTGTACTGGCCAAGCCAAGACAGTGTTCACAGGTTGTTGGGCTTAATGCCCATAGTGGTCATCACATTCAACTCCTAATCTTACTGTTTCCCTATTCCCCGTACACACTTTCCAAACTACTCACTTAGTCCTACATCCAAGCTGATGTTCACCTTCCTGATACACTTTTGAGAGAGTTTCCTAGAGTACTGAGTTCTGGAGCTGACCAGAAAGCAGGCCAAATCAGACTTGGTAAAATGTAAAGTGATAGGAATAATGATTTTAGATAATAGCAATCATAATATAGTTGAATTTTACATCCAAGGAGAAGAGTGGGTCTAACACTAGTATTTTAACTTTAAAGGCCACTGTGTTGGCATCAGTGCTGAACTTGCTGATGTGAACTTAGGCTGGAGGCAATAGACTAATAGAGAGGCAGTGGCAGACATGTAAGGGGATGTTTCAGAATAAGTCCTAAAAATAAATCCAAGCAGAGGATCTGATATCCATCTTTGACTAAGAAGTTAAGGACAGCATAAAGCTTAAGGAAAAAAGTACATAATTGTGAAAAGTTGAATGGCAGGGTGTATGATGAAAAGGTTAATCAGGACAAATTACAGCATGAGGGGAGGCTAGCTAGAAATACCAAAACAGATAGCAAGAGTTTCTACAGATTTCTAAATAATGCGAGTGGTCCTCTAGATGGTGAGAATACTGTTAATTGTAGATAATAAAGAAATGGTGTAGTTTTTTTATTCTCTTGTAGGACATGGGTGTCACAGTCTGGCCCAGTGTTTATTGTCCATCCCTAACTGCCCTTGAGAAGGTGGTGAGCTGCCTTCTAGAACCGCTACAGTCCAGGACTTTGACTCAGCGATAGTGAAGGAATGGAGATTATATTTCCAAATCAGGACGGTGAGTGACTTGGAGGGGAACTTGCAGGGGGTGGTGTTCCCATGTATTTACTGCCCTTGTCCTTCTAGATGGAAGTGGTCATTGGTTTGGAAGGTGCTGTCTGAGAATCTTTAGTGAATTTCTGCAGTGCATCTTGTAGATAGAATACACTGCTGCTACCGAGCATTGGTATTGGAAGGAATGGAAGCTTGTGGATGTGGGGCCATTCAAGTGGGCTAATTTGTCCTGGACAGTATCAAGCTTATTGATTGTTGTTGGAGTCGCACTCATCCAGGCAGGTGGGGAGTATTCCGTCAGACTCCTGACTTGTGCCTTCTAGATGGTGGACAGGCTTTGAGGGGGTTATTCGCCACAGTATTCCTAGCTTCTGACCTGGTCATGTAGCCACTGTGTTTATATGGTGGTTCCGGTTGAGTTTCTGGTCAATGCTAGTCCCCAGGATGTTGATAGAGGGGAAATTCAGTGATGGTAACGCCACTGAATGTCAAGGGGCGGTAGTTAGACTCTCTCTTGTCCGAGATGTTCATAGCTTGCCATTTGCGTGGTGTAAATGTCACTTGCCACTTGTCAGCCCAAGCTTGAATATTGTCCAGATCTTGTTGCATTTCAATATGATCTGCTTCAGTATCAGAGGAGTTGTGAATGGTGCTGAACATTGTGCAATTATTGGCAAACATCCCCACTTCTGACCTTCTGATGGAGGGAAGGTCCTTGGATGAAGCATCTGAAAATGGTTGGGTTGAAGACACTACCCTGAGGAACTCCTGCAGAGATGTCCTGGAGCTGAGATGACTGACCTCCAACAACCACAACCATCTTCCCATGTGTCAGGTATGACTCCAACCACTGGAGAGTTTGCCCCCGATACCCATTGATTCCAGTTTTGCTGGGGTTCCATGATGCCACACTCGGTTGAATGCAGCCTTGATGTCAAGGGCTGTCATTCTCACCTCAACTCGAATTCAGCCCCTTTGTCCATGTTTGAACCAAGGCTGTAATGAGGACAGGAGCTGAGTGGCCCTGGCGGAACCCAAACTGGGCGTCACTAAGCAGGTTATTGCTGAGAGGGTGCTGCTTGATAGCACTGTATCACTTCCATCACTTTACTAATGATTGAGAGGAGACTGATGGGGTGGTAATTGGCCGGGTTGGATTTGTCCTGCTTTGTGCGTACAGGACATACCTGGGCAATTTTCCACATTGCCATGTAGATGCCAGTGTTGTAACTGTACTGGAACAGTTCTGGAGCACAAGTCCTCAGTACTATTGCTGAAATGTTGTGAGAGCTCATAATCATTGCTGTCCCCAGTGCCTCTAAATGTTTCTTGATATCATGTGGAGCGAATTGAATTGGCTAAAGACTCAGGACCTCTGGAAGAGGCCAAGATGGATCATCCATTTGGCACTGATGTTCTGGGCTCTTCCATCATTCAGGATGGGGATATTTGTGGAGCATCCTCCTCCAGTGAGTTGTTTAATTGTCTGCCACCATTCAGGACTGCAGAGCTTAGATCTGATCCGTTGGTTGTGGGATCGCTTAGCTCTGTCTATCACTTGCTGCTTATGTTGTCTGCCATGCAAGTGGTCCTGTTTTTAGCTTCACTAGCTTGGCACCTCATTTTTAGGTATGCCTGGTGCATATCTCCTGGCACGCCCTCCTGCACTCTCTGTATTGAACCAGGGTTGATCCCCTGGCTTGATGGTAATGGTTGAGTGGGGGATATGCCAGGCCATAAGGTTACAGATTGTGCTGGAGTACAATTCTGCTGCTGTTGATGGCACACAACTCCTCATGGATGCCGAGTCTCAAGTTGCTAGATTTGTTTGAATCTGTCCCATTTAGCACAGTGATAGTGCCACACAACATAATGGAAGGTATTCTCAACATGAAGGCGGGACTTTGTCTCCACAAGGACTGTGCGATGGCCGCTCTTACCGATACTGTCATGGACAAATGCATCTGCAGCTGGCAAATTAGGAAGGATGAGGTCAAGTATGTTTTTCCCTCTCGTTGGTTCCTTCAGCACCTGCCACAGACTGTTGCGAACTCACAGGGCAACCCCATCCCAGCTGTATGCTCTTGTGCTGCCACCTCTCTGGGTCTACCCTGCCGGTGAGACAGGACATATCCAGGGACGGTGCTCGTGGTGGTGTCTGGGACTTGTCTGTAAAGTATGATTCCATGGGTATGACTATGTCAGGCTTGACTAGTCTGTGAGACAGCTCTCCCAATTTTGGCACTAGTCCCTAAATGTTAATGAGGAGGACTTTGCAGGGTCGATAGGGCTGTTTCTGCCATCGTCAATGCCAGGTGCTCTGTCCAGTTTCATATCTGTTTTGAGACCTTAAAACTGAGTGGCTTGCTTAGCCATTTCAGAAGGCAGTTTGGAATCACCCACATTGCTATAGTTTGGAGTCACATGCTCAGGCCAGGTAAGGACAGCAGCTTTCCTTCTGTAAAGGACATTAATAGCCCAGATGGATTTTTCCAGCAATGGTCACCATAAGACTCTTAATTCCAGATCAAATTCCACCATGGCAGGATTTGAACCCGGCTCCCTCAAACATTAGCTGAGTTTCTGGATTAATAGTCTAGCAATAATCCCACTAAGCCACCAACTCCCAATGCTCCAGGCTGCCCAGACTCCCTCGTCAGTAGCGCATGCGCTGATGGTGATGTCACTGCGCATGGAACACAATGATGTCATCAGCACATGCGCAGTCACATCCAGGTGCAGACAACCAGCATCAGACACCATGTCTGTGGGTGCCCAGTGACCATTGTGGGGCTGTGACTAATCGGGGTCGAAATGGGGAGGCTCAGAGAGTTGGTGCAACTCTCAGATAAAGGACGGATAAATATGTTCCTCTGGAATAATCAACTTGTTATATCCTGTTGTTGTCAATGGTTCAACTGAACAAACCCACAAATCGTCCTGGACTATTATTGAACTGATAACATCAACTACTTCTGCTTAAATGTCAAGCAATCAGCAAGCTTTGAGTGGCAGACTCTTAGCCTGGCATCGTGGTCTCTCAGCTTGGCATGGTGGTTTCTTGGGCCTGGCAGGGTGATCTCTAGCCTGGCATGGCTGTCTGTGAGCC